TACAGTAAATGTTAATGCCGACTCTTTAGGCTACAATGATGAGGTTATTCCAATACGACAGGCAGAGCTACATTGTCTCTCACTCTGTTTCTCCTCTCCTAACATATGGCACGAAGCCTTATCCTTTGCTGAGTAAAGTGGGTGGGTTGCGATGCAGGGGTAGCTCCATCTAGTGGATCCACCCTTAGTTAAACCACGACAACAACATGCAACAACATTCAAATAATACTAGAGATCATTGTTTCACAGATTACCCATCATAGATGCGCCATAATAAATGATGGCCCCTCATTCCACTTTGGTTGCAGATTCAGGACCTTCGGAGGATTTTGTCCCATATGCAATAAAGTAAATATAACTGTATCCATGTGTACATGTATATAAAAGTATATTGGGGGATAAATGTTGGGGCATGAATGTATATTGTGTATATATATGTTTTTTTTAGTCAGACACATAAAGGTGCAAGTCCATTTCTCACCTTAAAGACTATCTAAATGCAGAGCATTAAAAGGCTACATGAAAAGATTTGTGAATCATCACATACTGCCATTTTTGGACAGGGCATGAGAGTTGATGGCTGTGCTCTTAGCTATGCATGCCAGTGACAGAGACATGCCCAGGATCTGCTTTTGAGACAGGATCTTTAAGCTGGCACGGCCTCACTGTGACAGGAGGCATGGGCGCAAAACAACCAGATGATGACTCCATGGGAGATGGGAAAGGGGCAAGAGCTGGTCAGTGTACCAGCGCTTAATCATCAATCAGTGTCCAAAACAGTTGTTACATCAACCTGAGCACAAGAATGACACGTTCTCCAACTTACAACGAATATATAGGAATACTTTAAGTGTAAAAATAAATAAGTATCTTCAGCATTTTGACTCAAAGCTGCCATATTTACTTTTTGATGTTTTAAACCCTTAGCACACACAGCATGTAAAATCACGTCTGCTCGTTTGCTGTGGTAAAATCTGCACAAACAAACCACAAGGACATCATCAAACATCTGTTTAAAAGAACATGGTCACAAGTCGAGAGCACAGATGTTGAACACATGTCAGACTGTTCTTAAGGATACTTTGAACAAGTAATTTGGCCTTTGGCAGTAGGGATACTAATGGAAATAATTCAGATTATGGTGCGGTTTTTACCTCTAGTTAGTCCCTTATTGCCTGCTTGATCCCTCGTTGAGGAAGTCAGTGGTTTAATTTTCCACTTCAAACAGCTTTAAGGAAGGAGAAACGATGAGGAAACATTAAACGTTGCAGCAGAGAATGGTTACCTCAGATGACCATCCTTCAGGGGGTGCAAGCAGGATCCAGTCTGCATTGTGGAGAGATTTTTGGAGAGGAAGGAGGTAAGAAAAGAGAACATCAAGTCAGGTATAAAGTGTATCAATATTTAATCTGTTTGGCCCTTTCTCTCAGGAGACTCCCTCCAGGGAAACAATTACGTAAAATATCAGGAGATACTGCATGAGGCAGAGTTTGGGTCCATGTACGTCTACACTTCACACCTCACAGTTAAAAACTGCTGAGGGCAAACTGGTAAAATATTTGTTATCATAAGATTGTTCGATATATATAATCAAGAATTCACTGTTATGTTTATGTTATGTGAATATTTATTCTGATTACAGGTCAGGCTCACTTTACACTCACCAACTCTGCCCTTCTCCTGTTTGCAGTTTAGTTATAGAGCTCATACTGGCACTCACGCAGGTCTTCCCATGCTAACCCCCAACAGCATTTCTCTCAGTCTAACAAAGTCTAACAAAGCCGCAGTGATTCTCAAAGATCAAGCTGTGTAACTTTTGCTTGGTCTTTATGTCCTCCTGCAGATATGCTTTTAATTGGACATCGATAAACTCCTGGGATTTATTGCTTTCTTCTTATTGATCTGGTCTCTGAAGCCCACTGTGTTGTCAACAGTGAATGTGAGGTGCACGTTATTGAACTGGAGCCTTACTCCTAAGTGAATGTGCTGGGGAGGTCTCAGACCTGCTGTTCAACAAGGTTTATGTAACCTTACAGAAAAGCCAAGAGAAACCAGGCAACTTCTCGCATGGAAACAGAAATTTAGATTTCATTTCATTTGTCTTGTGACCTTTTGAAGAAGGTCTGACCCCTATGTTGGGAACCACTGGACTAAAATACTCAAGTGTATACTAAATACTTACTTAGCTTTACTTTTACATAAGTAGGATATTAAATGCAAGACTTAAGTGTAATGCTGTATTTTGGTACTTTTATCTAAGTGAAGGATCTAAGTACTTATTTTACCAATAAAAATATTAACCATTAAACGGGAATAGCAATGTTGAAGCCGGAAAACACTTCATCATCAACATTTGTAGACTGTATTTCTACAGATTTGTGTACTACACTATCCAGTAGTACTCATTAGATGTTGACAGCACGTTTCCTTACAATATCCCTTTTTCACAGCAGACATTTTGACTTGTAATAGTAAGAAAATGACATTGGTGTTTGGTGTTACTAATAACATTAACAATGGCTCTGTTCTGTTCAAGTGTCCCACTAAGGCAGTGTAACAGTGAGCCAGCGTGAACAATAACTGGACCTTGAAATTGAAGCAGCTATATGGAATTCAGCCATCATTCATTGTACTCTGCTCTTTTCAGACTGTGACATGTCAAAATGCTGCTGCTGTTTCCACAAAAAATTATTTATTCTCTTGTAAAACCAATTGATGAATACACATAATGGTAGTATTATTAAAGTTTATATTGTGGTGCCACGTTTTAGGCACACTTAGCTAAATAATGTTTGTTGAAGCTCCTCTGAAGGCTGCAGTTTGTGGTAAAGATCCTATGATCCAAAGATCCAGAACAGCTACTAAACAGACCTTGTGGTGAGATGTTTCCGCTGTTTCCAGGGCTAAGAATGGCTGACTGGGCAAACTCAATTTATTGATGAAGATCTTGTGATATAATCCAGAGCAGCAACTCAATAGAAACAGCTTTTTTTTTTTTTAAAGAATGGGTCAAGAATGAATACAACCTTTATTGATGGATGTTCGATCACTTTATTCTACACTCCACTTTCTGTCCCAACTGTTTGTGTTTTTTTTTTTGCTATAAGCTTCTTTTACACGCTACTATAACTGCATACATGCAGCAGCCATTTCCCCTGTGTTGATCCTCTCTGTTGTATGCCCCAGGGCATGGTATAAAGGAGCACCATCTCTCTGCCGTTAACCACCCATTGTTCATACTCACTGTTCCAGGCACCCATCATAGTTCAAAAGCCCTGCTGAGTCGTAAACATTAGAGCATGAATGGTGAAAAAATGCAAATCCCATCTTCATCTGTTGTCTTCATTTTAATGGACTTGGTCCCCAAAAATGGCATGTCTTTTATTCCTTCTCAACCAGACAGCAATGGCTGACTCATAAATGTTTATTTCAGATATTTGCACATGGCCAGATCCCAGAGGAAGGAAAATACCACATATTTAAACCATGACTCACGCCCACAGAGTGATCTTTTCTATCAACTTCTCTGTCTGTTACAAAGACACTATGACTCAGAGCAAACATACAGACTTTCTATCTTTAGATATAAGAATAATATACAACTTCAGAGTGCAGGGGCCCCAGCACAGATCATCAGATAAACCATAAACAGGAAGACTTTGATCTGTTTGTTTCTACTGTGTAAACAAATTATAATCTGCAATAGAACAAAACAAAAGTTTTACAAAAGATGATTTGTGTTGGGTTGCACATGATGGGTTGTCCATACCCTCCGCAGCAGAGTAACACTGCAGCTTTTCCCTGCGACTTTCACTTTAAGGGATGCTGCCAAAGAATAAACAGTAAGGAGTAACTAATCCTCTTTTATATAGCCCCAGTCATTATAGCACATACACTATGAAACTTCATGTAAGTCTTGTTAGTTGTGCTTTAAACTGGCCTCTGGCAAAATTACAGTAAAATGTGTTTAAACAGTGCCCTCTTCAGTCCAAGGAATTCTGTTGTATGCCTCTGCAGTGCCCTTTTATTTGTGCAAACATTTAATTACAAAAAAAAAAACATCATAAAAACCGGAATGATTAATGGACATATTTCCCATTAAGTTTGATTAGTTTTTATGTTTATTTGGTGCATAGGGTTTTTTTTAAAGTGTTAAAACCTGGTCGGTATAAGAAAAGTCTTATGAGGATGATTAAACAAATAGGAAAGAAAGCAAGAATAAATGTATGAAACTTAAGTTACACCAAATTCAGACTTTTTCTCTAATTTGAGGTTTTTCTTATGAAATACTGAAAAGGCTTGTAAATAGTCTTTAAATGAAACAAAGCGAGAAGGAAAATCACTGTTCTACTATCCAAAGTATGGCTATAACCTGAGATGAGGGGACATGAGTACATATTTAATATTTCTTTATTTAAGGAAGTCACAAGCCAAAAGGTTTGGGAATCACAGCACCACTATCCAGTGAAATAAATTAATATTACAATCATGAGACATCACACTGACATCACAAGTAGCATCAGAGAAATATGAATGTAAATCAGAATTTGTTTTCAATACCACAAATTGTGCATAAAGACAAATAAAACTAAATAGGCTATGTGGCACCTTCATGTAGACTTTCTGAACAGGATCCTGTCTGTAGCATTGAAAACTTTCAAACACAAGACAAACTGTACTTCCAAACATGTAGCTGCCTTTTTTAAAAGAAAGCATTAGCCTATAATGCTCATAAATGTACAAATATGTTTCATGCCAGCCTTTGTCATCAAGCATCTTCAGGGGTTGCTTCACCTTCTGCAAGTAAAATGCAACTCCACACTTCAGATGGGCTACAATTATAAAACAAATGTGTGGTAATAGCAGCAGGACCTGTCCGGAGAGCCGCTTTTCCTCCCCCAAAGGTGGCGCTGTAGCTAATTTAACCCGGACTGGCCCCCTTTTTAAACTCTGACGTTTCAGTTTTGCCTCCACGTTGGCCGCACATGCGCAGAGAGCGCGGTCACCTGCTGGGGGAGATCCGAAGCGAACAAGGAAGTCTTGCACTGAGGACTGGATGTCAGGCTTGCAACAACAACAACAACAACAAAAAAAACAACAACTAAATACATCTCCGCCGGATAGCAGTCATCTGCTCGTCGGCTGATTGCCACACCGGCCTGACAACATGTTTAAAAAACTAAAGCAGAGGATAAACGAGGAGCAGTCGCCGCAGAGGAATGCGCAGTCACCACAGCAGCAGGCCCAGGTTGGTTGTTGTGTTGCTGTGAGCTAACTGGCTAATCTCACAATAATATGTTGTTTACACTGGTAGCCAGCGAAGAAGTAACAGTAAGGTTTGTTTGGTAACGCGTGATTGGCCCAGCTTCATGAGCTGGGAGCTTTTATGAAGTTGTTTTTGGTCAGTGTGCTCTTTTTGCTTTCCTTTCTGGAGGTTAGCATCGTGCTAAAGTCAACCTAGCTGCCCAGCTGTGTGTCTAACGAGCTGTCATCAGCTGCTGCGACTAAGGTGCGTTCAAGAGACCTTGTAACTGGTAGAGCTCGTTGTCCCAGACATAAAAACAACAAGAACAAGAGCAGGCAGCCAACTGGGAACTTAACTGTAGTCAAAACATCTAGGCAGAAATCTTAGAATCGACACTTGGACAATATGGGCGTGTCTTTTTTATTTTATTTTTATTTTTTTTTAGTGTTTGTTGTTTTGGCTGCAAGTGGATGTCAGCTGGGAGCTTTATTTGACACATGCAAACCCTGCCAGCACCAAACGCCCACCATTGTAGTACATAAATATAAATCATGTTCCAACGTGGAAGTTAAAGTAAATAATAATTATTCTCTTCATCTCTTGCTCAACGACTAAATGGGTCCATCCTAACCCTGCTGCTTGGGTATAACCTGTCCGTATATATGTACTGCAGTTTGTTAATGTTTTGTGTATGTTTTCTTAATTTTTTTTTTGAACGATTCTTCTGTTATCTGGACACAAGCTGTTTGTTTTTTTTTTGGTTACTTACATATCAGTGTTGTTTGTTTATTTATCGTTTGGCCCCGGTGTGGAGCAAACTTCAGTTTATTAGTTAAAGTTTGTTTGCGTTTGCAGTTTATGCCACCAATTGTCTTCAGTTCAAAGGTTAAGATTGACGAACAGCAGGCTACAATGACCAATACAGTTAGAGCATAGTTATGATTGTGTGTAATTTGGTGAGAGGGATTCTGTGTTTTTGATATACACACTGTTTTATTTGTTTTAAACAGATGGGCAGTGGAGACCGGCGCAGCAGCCAGACCCCGCCGTTTCCTCACGATGGCTCACCCTCTCCCAGTGACCGAGAGGTGAGCACGGTGTCAGCCTGTGATCGATATATTTTTAATATCTTTGAGCTTAAACTGCAGCCTGCACAGATGTCATGTTCTCTCCCCTGCTTATATTCTGATTTTCAACAGAGTAATGTTTGTGTCAGTCCTAAAAAAATCTGTCATTTGTCTTTTTTCTTACACGTAATGCTCCCTCAATAACAAACCAGTGCCTTTTTTTGATTGCTGTGACAAAGTGAAAGTAAATCAGTGACCAAGTAGTGCTTTCAGTTTCTAAAGAGTGCAGTTTATTCATTCACTACTCATCATCTACTCTCAAATTAAGTTGACAAATCTCTGTTACAAACTGATCATAAATTGTTAATATAACCAAAGATACATATTAGTCCCAGCTCATATCCCTTAAGCATATCTCCTGAATCGTCACGGCAACAGATGGGAATCTGTCACCACGTGGTACTTATAATGTCATTAACACATGATCCAGTATAACATTGTGATAACTGATGTTGTAGAGAAACTCAGCACGCTGATCTCATGTACAGGTATGGTCCGTCGAGTTCTCCCTTCTTTTAACTGCATGCATTTTCATATTGGACAATGAAGTTAGATTTGATTTAGCGCATTTTGATGTTCATCTTTAAGAAAATTTGGCCGATTGTTATAATGTGGTCTTTTTAAACAGCTTTTAAAAGTACTGAAACTGCTTGCCTACAAGAGATTCTTATTTAGAGACACTGGGAAGGGCATTTTAAAGGTGGCGAGCAGGCCATATTTCAGTATGAATAATTGATGTCTCCTCTTCTCAGTGTTTTCCTTTCTCTGGTGGTTTGTTGCAACATTTCCCTCCAGTGGATTTGGGAAAGTTTGAGACTCCTTTTGATTCATTAGACGGAGTTAGACCGGCAATGAGGTACCGACCACGACTGTAAGATTGACGATGCAACATATGGTTAATACATCTAGTTTAGAGCTTAGATATGGATGTTTACAGCTGTGACTGTTTGATCTTTAGATTACAAAAAATGGGCTTAATTACTTATTCATGACAGGTTTCCGACATTCAAACACCAGAGACCCCAAACTGGAATAATGACAGTTGTGGTTTTAGTGAGGTTTCTGCACTCTACTTTCTCCCTTTGGAAGCACAGATGTGTTGTTGTAACTTGGACTCATGAGCCCCTCTACTTAGAAGCTTCTTATCATCGCAGCATCGTTTTTCACCTTTAACACTTTGACATCTCTGGAAGCGTTTGTTTGATTATTGACAACATCACAACTTAAAACTGTATTACTCAGAGATGTCAAACTGTTATTCATAACATTACTGTTGATTGAGTGTTTCACTTTCCCATTTTTTTCTTATTTTTCTTCCTCTCCCATGTGGTCTTTCTCCCTCTCTCTAGCTCCACTCTCTCTCTTTTCCTCCCTATCCATCTCAGTCTCTCTCGCCCAGCCTCTTCTGGACAGTCTGGCTAGACACTCCCTTCAGCGCTATTTCACACTCATGGTGTTGTTTTTCTCATTGCTCTCTGTGTTCCTCTCCTTTCCCCACCTTTCGTCCCGTTACTGCACTGACGGGGTCAGGTGCTGGCCGGGATGATAGCAGAGCCCGCTTTTCTCTCTGAGTATACTATCTTTGCTCTGGACCATTCAAAACGACCCAAAACGGCCCAGGTAGCCAGTGTGGTGAGTGTGTCCTCACTTCCTGTCTCTTCCTCCTCATCTTTCTCCTCCTTCTCCTCCTCCTCTTGCCCTGTTCCTTCCTCCCGTCTCCGCGCCTTTTGGGGAATCGGTAGAGGACTGTGGCCCAAGTAGGGACAGCTTGTTCCCTGCTCTCTGTCTCCTGTTTCCTTTGGATTTAGCAACAAGAAGGCATCTCATATCTAGGCTAACCCTGCATCTAATGGGAGTTATGGTTTACATTGTGGGATAGAAGCTTGTGTGCTTTCTGCCGTATGTTGGTTTATTGCCCTACCTTTCAGTTACTATTATCTGTCACAGAACTGAATAGTGCCCCCCCTTGTCTTTAGGTATCCTTAGTTGCTTGCTTTTTAGACCCTCAACACCCTGTTATGTTGCCTGATGGCCTCTGTCCCTTCTCCCCACAAGTCTGTTTATTTGGAGAGTTGACGTTTTCATTTCACCAAGCTATGGGAAAACCTTTTCAGCAGTTTAATTGTTAAATTGCTTGTAACTCTTCCAAGTAAACAAACTGACCAGAGCACCTTTGGTCGATGCCTCAAAAACTAGAAGATGTGTGTTCATATGTGGAGGCAGCAAGAGGAAAACAACATTTTGAAAAGATGAGCAGTATACAAACAGATTTTAAATACATACAGTACATTCATTTTGCTCACATTGTATGTCTGTTCAAATGTCTAAGATATGTTTGATGTGAAGTGTATCTAAAATGTTCGTTTGACTAACTAACTATTAGGGTATTTGGCTATGTGCACTTCCTGTAATGTGCATTTGTTTTAAAACTCCAATTTAAAATGCTGATTAAGCATATTACCCAAACAATTTATATTTGGTATTTTTACAAAGATACGTCTGTTTTATATTAGCAAGCACAGTTAATTATAAATAAATGTAAACTTCAGTGGTAAGGGCTTACTGGTAAAGTGGTTAAATCATTGTTCGATTCTCTTTTCTTGTAACTCTTAATTACATCTAATTGAAAACAAATCTAAAATATATAACTGCACTGTACTCAACAGGTTACCCAGAAACCTTTTCTTCTGTTGCTCTCTGTTGTACTTTGTCAGTAGAGACCAGTGAGTTATTGCACAACAGTCTGAATCATGTGTCGCAACTACAAATACAACTGTGTCATTATCATCATCGTCCTTGTCATGTTCCATCTACATCTTATTAAAATATTATCAACACATCCTCACAATATCGCTCAATCCAGTGTTAGTAAACTCAACTATCTCATTCGTTTTTGTTGATTTTTACTTTTTATTTTGGAGGTACAAACCTGTTTTGACAGCTATGTTTGTCTTTTGACCAGAGCTATATTCAAGGTTTTTTTTCTGTCTGTTTGAATTATGTTTGTGTTGGTACTTGATCAAGGGGTAGTACTTGTAATTACTGTTATGAGTCAAAGGATTTTGGATTCAGAACCACTTTAAATTTGTTGTTGACAGTTGGGGAGTTGAGTGTTCGGACGTACTGAAACACAGAGGCATTCAAGTCCTGGTTTGGAAAAAAGGCAACTAGTGTCTACATGGGGTGACACACACGGTGAAGTAATGAAAGAAGTCAGTAATTAGTATATGCTATATAAAGTTTTTAAATATTATTCCTGTTCCTTCATATAAACTTACTTACTTTACAATAAAATTAATCCTTCTTTATTTACCTCTGTTGACCCCAACACAAACTCATTCAATAAAACAAATACCCACATATTATATATGTTTGTTGGTTGAAGAGATTGTAAGCAATGGTGGAAAATACTTTTAATAATTTTGTTTTGAACGTCCCTAAAAGATTATTATATTTTTTTTAAGTTTAATTATTTAGTTGTGAAGAAAAAGCCCTTTGGTAACCTGCAACACCCACTAAAAGAGATCCTGGAAGGGACTACCATCAGAACATTTCCACAAGAAACAGGACAGAAATGTTGAATGTTTTGCACAGTAATCCAGAGGAAGGAGTAGCTCGGAGCCGGACAAGGGAGGAGAGAAATTTGCTTACTCTGATCCTGCTTCTAACAAGTTAACTAAACCAACTAAGCTGCTAAATGTCCACTTACTTCAATTACGACTCTCTTGTAATACAGCTGCATACGGCACTGCCAAGCATCTTTAATTCAAATACCAGCTCTCCTACTTGACTTTTAACTGTCTGTTTGTTCTGACCTCATGGCTGTTCTGTAGAGTCTAGTTTTAACCCTTTTTTGTTTAATTTACAGTAGAGATGCCTTCTTTTATGTATTTAACCCCTCTGTTTTTTCCAAGTTGCATGAGGGTACCCATTGCCCCTGCATTGCTCCCAGCAATACTAATATTGCTCCCTCCAGAGTAATCAGGGAGAGCCATGCTGGGTGTGGATGACTAACTGGCCCAGGTCAAGTCCACTGGCACCGTTTTCCTTCCTCTCATAATGTCCTTTTATCTGCAGAGTGCCTCTAAAGGACCAGCGAGATCTCCCAGAGGTAGCATCAATGGGGATGGAAGTGCTTCTCCTCATGTACGTTTATTACCCAGTTTTTTCCTACCACCTCTTTGATCTCGCTGTTGCTTATTCTTTTATATGTTTAAAATGAGCTTTTAATGCAATTTCTTGATCCTCCCAACAGAGAGAGGAGACTCAGTCATTTGCCCAGAAACTGCAGCTAAAAGTTCCCTCAGTGGAGTCGTTGATTCGCGGCGGTGCCAGTCGGGCAGAAAGCCTGTTCCGCTCTCCTTCTAAAGAAAACCTGGTCCGAAGCTCGTCGCGTGACTCCCTGACACCGTTGGGAGAAGAGTCACCGGGCGCTCCCACATATGATCCCCCTTCCGATATTGAGAGCGAGGCTGAGGAGCCACCAGGTAGTGCAGAGTCCCTTTCCAAAGACCAGCTGTTGCACCGACTGCTTAGAGTGGAAAGGAGCCTGGGGAAGTACAGAGGGAAGTACTCAGAGGTGAGAGTCACACAGAGAGTGTTAAGTGTAGAACACAAGTGTATAATTACACTGATAGTGATTTACTCACCTCTTACCTCCGCTTCTTAACCCTGCAGCTGGTTACTGCGTACCGAACAGTACAGCGAGATAAAGAAAAAACGCAGGTAATCTAACTTCCATGTTGGCTAATGTTTCATTTTAATCTAGGGGGACATTTTTTGAAAAAGGAATGTAGCATCCTGGCTTGATCAGATGTTTATCACTGTTTTCCGTCCCCTCAGGTCATCCTTAGTCAGAGTCAAGATAAAGCTCTCCGCAGGATAGGGGAGTTGCGGGAGGTATGGCTGTATGTTATGAATGTTGTTGTCTCTCCAGGTCAATAATTGTCTTCCCTTTTTTTGATTAAAGTTTTATGTATGAGTGAACATATTGAATGATCTCTAGGAGCTTCAAATGGACCAGCAGGCCAAGAAACACCTACAGGACGAGTTTGATGCTGCTCTGGAGGAGAAAGACCAGATGATCACTGTTCTCCAAACACAGGTGAGTGTTGGTACATGGATGTTTTTTTTGTTTTTATGTGGGATAATGTGTGCAACAGTCGCTGTTAGGAACACTAATATCAGGCAGAAACGTTGTCTTAACCAATACAATAGTTTAAAAATGCTACACTAACATTAACACAAAATTATTTTGACTTATGTATGGAACCAACACAATTATTTTTTGTTTGCCACTGGTACAATCTGTAGTTAGGTGCTCATATACAGTACTCTGAAGTACTTTGAATAAACATGGCTGAGTAACAAAGAAATGTACAGTAAATTATAATAACTAAACCAAATAAATGAAAAAAGCCACATGCTATGTTTGCATTAAATCATAGACAGGATTTAACTTAACATCAGTGCTGGATGAGTTTTCTTGGCCCCACAAAATGCATGCAGAGAATAATGCCAGATTTTGGTCTTTCACCCAAGTATTCAGAGGTTAATTTCACTAACTGTAGTTGCTGCTCTTTCTTACAGGTTGCTCTGTTGAAGAAACGAACCAAGGGAGTCTCTGATGGCGCTGTGGGTGACGTCCCTCAATCTGAAGATGCTCCAGACTCTTCCACACAAAGTCCTTTGAAGGAGCAAGGAATAGAGCCGGATGTCACTGAGGGTAACAAACATTTGTGTATATTTGTGTTGTGGTTGAGAACAACAGCAAAACATTAAGTTGTTGTTTATGAAACTTACATGACAATCATTTCTGTTTAGGTGTAATGCATTTTTTTTTAACCACTGCATTTTATTTTCTTGGCAGGAGAGGGCAACAGTGATCCAACCAAACTTATAGAGGCTCTGCAGAAGAGAGTGAAGAGGCAGGAAAACCTACTGCAGAAGTGCAAGGAAGTGATGCGTACGCACAAGGAGCGTAGCGCCCAGCTGGGCACCGAGAATGAAACTCTGCATGAGCAGCTGCAGGAGAGACTGCAGGAGCTGGAGAAGATGAAGGTGGCTAACCTGTGTTTAACTGCAATAATACTGGAGTGTCAACCATGGTCATATTGTATTATTAAAACATTTTTCATAAATTTTAGATGTCTGCTTATACACATTATCACTCTGTCAGTAGGGTATTTTAAAGAAATACAAAGTGACCAGATATTTCAAAGCAATTTCCTGAAGACAACCACTCACTAGAAATTGATGTGGTGGTAAACTGTAATTACGAGGAGGTTTGATTAAAATGGGGCTGGACTGAAATGCAGCAAATGACTGAACAGTGTGTTTAGGGTCATTAATGTTGTGCTGCAAATGTCTGCCAGAGTCTTTACGCTCCACTGATAATGTGACTCCATTATCACAGTGACACAGTGGTTTGCTGTGGTTCTCAGAGACGGAACATCTAAATTCTCTGGCCGAGCTCCAGGACGAGGGTTCATGTCAGCGTGACATGACTGAGCCATTGTTTTCATTGATTTCAAAACATTTAGCTTCAGCGGTATGATCGGCTTGTTTAGCTTGTCCATAGCAGCTCTGATGTTTTGCAGTGTCTGATAACAAATGTTTGTTGTTACAAAGACAGATAATACACAGCTTGTCTGTGACTGTATGTTGATTGACTCATGTTCATTTTTGCCATCATTCTTGTGTTGAATCTGCACTCTGTTTGGGAATGGGGCCTTTCCTGTGTCGGGAAAAGCGAAGGTTAACAGGCGTTTAGCCCTCTTAAGCAGCATGAAGGCTTCATGGAACTGCTGGGAAGGCTGTGCTCATCCCCTGTCTCAGACAAATATCCCATAAAACAGAACATCTGTCTGCAGTCCCAGACCTTCAGCTCATGGATTTTTGAATATATTATTTACAATCTGGTTGTACTTTTTGTGTAGACACCCATGCCTTTTTGCACACATAGATTAAACAACTGAGAAATACAGTCAGCCCAGCATTTCCTGTTTAGTAACCACTGGTTACACAGCGATGGTACAGAGACATAGCTACTACATGCCACTACTGCTAAACTGAGCTGTAATTTAGGGCGACTTGTTGGTTTAGCTGGGCTTGTGTACAGTGTCCAGTCATTTGGCTTGTGGGTGAGGCATCCTGGGTGGTGCAGCAAACCTCTCATTTTAAAGTTATCTGACCAAAGCATATACAGGATGTGATGCCCAAATCAGAAATGAAAAGCTGGATATGTAGTTGTACTGACATTTGGACATATGTGACATTCTTATTTGTAATTCTGTCAAATGTTTTATGTTTATAGGAACTGCACACAACCGAAAAGACCAAGTTGATCACTCAGTTGCGTGATGCCAAGAACCTAATTGAACAGCTGGAGCAAGACAAGGTGAGTTTTTCAGTTCGCTTTAGTCACGTCTTCATTGAAGGTTGTATTAGAAAACTAGACATGTTTTATTACTCTGCCACTGAGTAAAGAAGTCAGACACCTTGAAGTCCCATATTGTTCCTCTTAAACTTTGACCCCAGCTCGGCAGGATGGACAGCAGCTCATGAGATATACGTGAGGAATGCTGAAAGCACTTAAAGTCAGAAACAATTACAGAGACGGGGCTTGAGTTGGAGTGTAAAATACAGAGATAGTACTTATCAAATCAACATAAATTTCAGGTCATTCTATCTGCCTAGACCACACAGTTATTAAAATGTTGATTTTCCTTCATGGGTGTCTGTCTGTCAGGGAATGGTCATTGCTGAGACAAAGCGCCAGATGCATGAGACTCTGGAAATGAAAGAAGAAGAGGTTGCCCAGTTACGCTCCAGACTCCAGCAGGCTACTGCCCAGAAAGAAGAATTACAGGAACAGAAAGAAAGGGCTGAGAAATCAGGTGAGTGAAGTCCACTTCTGTATGTGTACAGGAAACATTTATTCTTCAGGATATGTTAATGAAATGTTTGTTTTGGGTTTTTTTTCAAAGCATTTGAAGAGCTTGAACGAGCGTTGGGTGTAGCTCAGAGGGCGGAGGAGGCCCGAAAACAGCTGCAGGTTCAGCTGGAGGAGCAACTGAAAGAAGTTGAAAGGGCCGGTGAGGAAGAGAGGAAGAGTCTACAGCAGGAGCTCACACGAGTCAAACAGGAGGTTGTCACCATAATGAAGGTCAGGAAGTGACTTCTGCTGAATAATTGTGAAATTTAAGTTTACATTAGAAGGTAAACGGCAAACTTAATAATATTGCCTATTTAAACTATTCTACCAGAGGCAAATTTATTTAGTTTGATTTTATTCACTTTGTTGATATTTACATTGTTTGTTAGGTGTGTTTGAGAACACAGAAACACACATCAGATTTGTTTTTTTAACTTTATTAGAAATCATCAGAGGAAACGGTGGCCAATATGGAAAAACTCCACAGTGAAGCTTTGGCTGCTAAGGAAGAAGAGATAAGTGCCAGAATCAACAAAGCTGTGGTACGTGCCAAAGGTTTTCATTCATTTATAAATTCCAATGAAAATAAAATACTTTCAAATGTTCAATTTTTACATTGCCTGTGCCTCTTTTGTATTTAGGAGCAATGCAAAGAGGAGTTTGCCCAGTTAGGCAAAGAGCGAGAACAGCAGGCTTCTCTGGCACTGGAGGATGTAGAGTTACAGAAGACGGCCCTGAGGACCGAAGCTGATAACAGGGTTAAAGAGATACAGTTGGAGCTGGAGGCTGCAAGAACTGTGGGTTACTTTTTTTTTTTTAATGTAGCTACTTGAATAGTATTTGGCCTGTTAATTGGGAGTGACAGAAAGCTTTGAGGCTCAAATCTTTGTTCATTTTCAAGTTAACTGATGAACAAAAATAGCATTTATATCATCTGTTTTATGTATTTGGCAAGCTCTAGGCGCTACAGAAATGTACACACACACACACACACACACGCACGCACAGACAGACGGGGAAGGCAAGATAGATTTATTCAACATAAAATCGAACTCTGAACTACAGAAAAGAGCCAGGTAGTAAATAAAGTTGAATGCTGCTACTTATCATTTTGAACTCATGCACATATTTGAGCATATTTTACTGAAAAGCATAATACCTTTGGTTGAATTGCACAATGTGTTGCAAAGTGAAAATAAATTCATATAAATAAATTGAGAATATTTTAAGTAACACATGAAACGGGGTAGATATTGCTGTAATAGTGTTTTCTGTTTTTTGTTTTTTAAATCAGAAACAGGATGTAATTCAGAAATACCACACACTCATTGTCCTTGAAGCTTTGAAAATTCATCATTACCATTGATTCTGTGACATTATTAACTGTATGGACTTTGTTGAATAATCTAATCTAATAATGAAGTTATAAACAACCTACATGTATGTGATTGCAGAGAATATTAGAGCTGGAGAGCTCTCTGGAGAAGATCTCACAAGATGGATCAAGTCTGTCCCATGAACTTTCCAGTCAGTTGGACGAGCTGAAGGATAAACACAAAGAGCAAATCTCTGCATTAGAGGAAAAGCATCAGGAGCAGCTGGAAAAGCACAAGGGCACCCTAACCCAGCAGCATAATGCTGCTCTTGAGGGGCTCAAGGAAAAACACAGAGTTGAAGTGGAGACCCTTCTGAAAGATAAAGAACTGCAGTTCCAAGCACATGTTGAAGACATGAACCAGAAGACTTTGGAGAAACTGGATGCAAAACAGGCAGAGCTGGAGGCTGTTTCTGCTGAACTTTCTGAAGCTTTGAAGAGTAAAGAGCTTCTGGAGGAGAAGTTGGTGGCAGCTGAAGATGCTCATAGTTTAGCTCAACAGGAACATGAGAAGAAGTTTCAAGATCAGGTGTCAAAGCACAATGTGGAGCTTGCAAATATCAAACAGGAGCACGAGCAGTCACTTGGAGGAATAGAGAAAACTCTGAAGGAGGAACTTAATGCAATGAAGATTGTTCTGAGGGAAAAGGAAAAGGAAATTAAAGAACTTGTGCTTAGAGAAAAAACATTACAAGGCGAATCACAGGAGTTCAATGTCAAGGTTAAAGAATTGGAGGAGCTGCAGCAGTGTTTATCACAATCCCAGCTGGAAAATAGAAGCCTAAAAGAATCTAATGCACAGTTAAGTAAAATCTCAGAGGATCTTGATCAGTGTAAAAAGGATTTGACAGATTTGGAGCATCAGTTGGAAGTAGCAAAGAATGACTGTCAACAAAAAGAAAAGTCGCTTCAAGAACTAGAGCACCAATTACAACAGGGCAGAAAGGAACTATCAGAGAAGGAGAAGTCATTTACTGCAGAACTGAACACTAAGCAGGAAGAACAGATACGCCTTAAGAAACAGCTGGATGGTGAAAAAGCTGCGCATGAGAAGAAGTTGAAAAACACTATAACTGAGATGGAAGCTAAACTGAAATCACAGGAAACAAAAATGGAAAAGTTTAAGCAGAAGGCCAAAGACATGCATGAGAGCTTTAAGAAAAAGCTCCAGCAGAATGAAGAAACCATGAAGGAGGAACTTGCAAAGAAGGAGAAAGAGCTTCAGCAGAAAGAGCAACAAGTTCAAGACAAAATTGTGGAAATGTCCCAAAAAAGTTCCCAAGGCCTCAGCAGTGCAATGTCAGAGCTGCAGGCCAACCATAAGGAAGAACTGCAGAAGCTACGTGACACCCACAAGCATGAGCTTGCGGAGCTGGAGCGTCGTTGGCAGGAGAAGTTGGGCCAGCAGGAGGAAGAATTAATGGAGAAACACTCTCACATGCTACAGGAGAAGGCTCAGGAACTGGAGGAACTTTCTCAGCAACTTACTAGAAGCAAAGAGGAAAATGAGCAAGTGCTGCGTGAAATAAAGGACTTAAAGGAGGACCTGGCAATTCGAGAAACCACAGTGCAGAAGCTGCAAGAAGAGCTGAATGAAGCAGCGGTTAAGCTTGAAAGTTTGTCCCAGGCGGAGGCGTTGCTCAAAGAGCAAATGGAGTCAGTGGAGAGGAACCTTAACCAGGCTCTAAACGAGAGAAACTCCCTCCAAGACAAGCTTAGCACAACTAAGGATGAGAACAGAGAGAAGTTAAAGACCTTGTCAGAAAAGTTGGAGGCGACAGAGATGCAGCTTAAAGCAGTGGAAGGTTCCAGATGTAAGGAAAGCGTGGACTTACAGAGTAAATTTGAGGAAAATGTCATTCAGCTACAAGCCGTTATCGATACTAAAGTAGATATAATTTGCACTTTAGAGGAGAATCTCCGGCAGCAGACGGAGGAAAATAAGAATCTATGCATTTCATTAGAACAGATGGCCGCTCAGGTAAATGCTCATACGCAGCATGTCGAAGCCTTAACATGCGAGAAGGAGAATCATTCTCAGTCTATCAGTGAGAAAGTTCAGAAAATTGAGGAGCTGAGTGAAGCAAACAGAATCATATCAGAAAGTATTCAAACAAACGAGTCACATATCAGTAACTTGGAAAGCATCATCAGTGACTTGAAAAATCAGCTAGCAAGTAGCATAAAAGAGAAGGAGGAAGCCATAAATCAGCTGAACCAGCAGTATAAAGAGGAGAGACAACAGGCGGCTGAGACCATAGAGAGATTAGAGCAGGAGAGAAAGTCTGCTTTAGAGCAGGCGGATGCACTCAGGAACAGTCTGTCTGAGTATGAGAACAAGTTCACCCAGAATGACAGCACTATCACATCTCTACAGACCAGGCTGGAAGAACTGGAGCGTGATATCGCTGAAAAGGACGAATCTCTGCAAAGGCTGACAGCCAGTATTGACAATCAGTCCATCAGCAAGTCTGAGATGGACCAGGTGCTGAGTGAAAAAGAGCAGAAGGTCAGCGGACTCACCTCGGAGCTGGAGAGTTGCATCAGTCGACTCGATGAGCTTCAGGAGCAGTTGGCCTTAAAAACAAAAGAGTGCGAACAACTCGCAGCTGACGTCAAACAGCAACAGAGCATCAGGGAGAATGAAAAGAGAGAGTTAGTAGAGCAGCTGCAGCAGACCCAGATGAAGTGCACTCAGAACGGTAATTTGGAGCAGGAGATGGTAGAAAAACTACGCTTCCTCGAGGAAGACAACCAAAAGTGTAAACACAAGCTTGAAAGTCAAAGGGAGGAATTTGAAAAGATGAAAGATGAAATTATCAAGAGCAAGGACGAGAGTTTGAAGGCAACCGAGTCGAAGTTATCTGCAGATAGTGCTCGGAAAGTGTCAGAGCTGAAGAAGAAAGCTGAGCAGAAGATCGGCCAGATTAAGAAACAGCTAACCTCGCAGATTGAGGAAAAAGAGCAGACGATCAAAGCTCTTCAGAGCAGTCTGGAAGAAATCAAGAGCAGCGAAACGTCTGTCAAACAACACACAGAAACATTAGAAGAGAAAACAAAAACACTTGAGGAAGCTCTTGTCAAGCTTAAAGAAGAGCAGGAGAACCAACTTGAACAGATTCTGAGTAATGAGAGGCATGAGAAAGTAAAGTCTTTGGAGGAATTGAGAAACGTGTACGAAGAGAAGCTGTCCTCGCTTCAGAGAGATGTAGCGCAACAAGGGGAGCGGAAAGAAACTGAATCAACGCTACAAGAAATCGAGGCGAAGCTAAAAGAAGCAGAAGAGCAGAATGGAAACCTTCTTGCAGAAATAAATCGGCTGAAAGAAGAAATATGTGAGAAGGATGCTCAAATCGGTCAACATCAGGCAACTATTAAGCAGGTCCAGAATTCATCAGAACCTGGGGCTGAGATGATGGTGGAATGTAGCAGCATACAGCAAACCAAGAGTGCTATGGAAAACCACTCTCTGCTGGAGGAAGTGGGCGGTGATTCTCTAGAGTCTCTGAAGAGCAAACTGAGTCAGGTGAAGAACGAGAAAGACAAAGTCCACAAGGACTTCGTCAGGCTACAGAAAGACATCAGATTACTGAGGAAGGAGCATGAACAGGACCTAGAATACATGAAGAAAGAGGTGTTAGAAGAGAATGAGAAAAAGCTCAAGTAAGTTTATGATGCAAGTTTATAATAAAGAATAAAAGTGAAAACTACTTTTGCAGACAAGAGATTTGCAATTATTTTCTTGTCTGTAAATCCCTAAATGCGCCATACTGATTTAATATATATCTTTTACTGTCTCTTCTCATAGATTGGAGTTGGAAGATGTGGAAATGAAGCACAATTCTGCTATCAAACAGTTAATGAGGGAGTTCAACACACAAATGGCTTTGAAAGAGTCGGAGCTTGATTCAGCAGTGAAGGAGGCCATTGGTGAGGAAAGCAGTGTATCCCCATTCATCAAATTAACCTGTCAAGATTTACAGCTGTGTTATAAAGCATGGGAAATGAGTGATTGAAATAATTTTGCCATGGTGAAATCACTACAGTCTACTGATGTTTAAGGCGCCCAAACAGCTGCCTTAAAATGGAAATTCAAAGTAAATGTGATTAGATGATTTGTACAACAGTAGGGTAGAATAACTACATGGAAACGTTTTTTTTTTTATCTCTACACTGGTTGGAACAAAATTAAGGGATCATTGCATTTGGAAACAGTGTGTCTGGATTGCCATGTTTCCTTGTTTCCTCCATGGTTAAATCATATTACATTCCAGATGGGATGTGAGCGAGTAGTTTGGAATATGTATTGGTTTGTTTTTTTATGCGCTAACTCTGGCTTCCTTCCCTTTTCCTCGACACAGCAAAGGCCCAGAGTGTAGAAGCAGAGCTCATCAGTAGCCATCGTGATGAAGCCAGTCAGCTGAAGAAGCTGCTTGCCCAGAAGGAGGATGATTTGCACAGAACTGTTCAGAAATATGAGCAGGTTATACAGGTATTATAAAAAGACAAATGAAATAACACCCAATAACCCAATTTTATATGTTTACCACGGACAGGAAATTAACCCCACCCACCATTTGGAAGCTGTCACTGTTGGCAGCAACCTTGCCCTTGTCTAGAGCAGTAATTCCCACCCTTTTTTTTATCAGACATGACTACAGCCACGTCAGATGAACTCATGAGCTCCTTTATTGACACCAACCAATGTTATTTTGAATTGACTTTAAACTGATTTAAACAGTGTATATAATATTTAAGTTACAATAGTGGGTGTTAATCTTTTCTTATAGTTGAACTGTCATCTGAAGTTTTCGCATTTGTACTATCCCACTTAACAGTGTATGTTTCAATTCACTTATCCACCCCTTTAAGCTATTTCAACCATTATCCAGTACTTTCACACAGTATATTCATAACTTAAACTTAAACCTAGCTAACTAGTGCAACTCTTTGTCCACTTCTTTTTGCCTTTTCAATCATTTATGCGTTACATTAATCTATTTTATCTATCAGCTAACTAGTTCAATTGTTTAGCTTTAAGCATGTATCCATTACTTTTAGCTATGTGAATCATTTATCTCATTACTTTTTGATAACTATTCAACTGTTTATGTATTGCATTTTAGCAAACTTGTTTTTACACACTCTTAATCACAAAATTGTTTGGGTGTTTTAATCAAATTGTAAATAATTACTACTACTACTTCAATGTTTCCACATATCCTCTGGCAACCAATCTGGAATCACTGACCTAAACTTAATCGTCAATCAACATCCTGAATGATGTATTATTCTTTAAGAACAGTCCCCTTCACTGTCTCCAAACATAATGAAGGGCGGGAGGTCTGAAATACGCAGGAACATGAAGGAGTGATTTAGCCAACATACTTGAGTTGTGATGCTGAGATGAAACATAGGAAATGACTCATCCTTTGTTCTTCTTTCTTTTCTGTTTTTTTGTCCAGAGTCGAGAGGAGGAGATGGGCGACAGAGTGTGGCAGGTCCAGAAAGAACTGGAGGAGTTGCAAGGAAGGACCCACGGCACTTCTGAGGTACAAACATTTCTGACCCGTGCTCACCAGGTCAGCAAACATCTGCGAGTGGTGTCACAAATGTTTAATGTATTAGGGACATTTTTCCGTTTACACAGCTGTGGAAGTTCATACCTGAAGCTATTAAAGTCCATTATATATACGAGACTGGAGGTTTAGATTCAATTTATATAGTGATTCTGTTGAAATCATAAGTCATCCCACAATAGCTGCATGAAGTCACTTCTTTTCAGCTCCCTCTCCTGCTCCTCTGGGAGAGGCTGTAGTCTGATGGAAGCATTACTTGTTTTGAATGACAGCCTAATCTGGACACATTTTTGTGTCCCAACTACAAGGCCTTTTTAGATACCTATTTAATATTTGAAAGTTCACATCCAGGTTAACAGACTTAGTAGTTATCGGCAATATTTTCCTTTGTCTTGCTTCGTAATTGAAGGATTCCGACTCAGAGCTCAGGGACAATTTGCTTACATACTTTGCTCTGATCAGTCTCTCACTCCAGTCGTGTGGCTGCTCTCCAAAGTGCGCCGGATCCTGCGAAGCTCATTTGAATCGCTCAGGAATGTTCTCCTTGAGAAACAGAGATTGTGAGGCAGCAGCCAGCCTCAATCCCTGTTCTCAATTATCATCATATGAGGTGATTCTAAAGCCTTAGATTTATACTACAGCAATACCCACATGCAAGATGTGCACGCTGGAAAGGGGCCAGATAGGACAAAAGTACTCCAGGGAGACGTTTTACCCAGGTGTTGAGGTGCCATGAGACCCCTGCGCTGATTCTTCTACCTTTACACTATGTCCAGATGCACACAAACAAAGAATTACACTGCTCTCTCTGCTACATTTTTCCCTGGTGAGGTAATAATTTTATGGGTGGATTGTATGAGGTTATGCTCAGGGAGGCCTTTCCTTACCACGGGCCTCACAAACCATTCTTCATTTCGACAGTGGGTCAGTGTGTCTCTCCATAGAGACAGCAGCTCTCAAGTCCGCTTATAGAGGTTCCAGTCCCGTTTAGTCTGTATGTGCAGCACCAAACCAACAGTGTGTTAGTCTCTTAGTACCCAAAGTGGTCACAAAATATATACCAGTATTTTTTTTTTTTTTTTGGGGGGGGGGGTTATGCTAAATATTAATAAATAAATAAAACACTGGACGCTGTAGCATTTAAAAAAACATTACCCAAACAAAACTAATTGGTCTATTTGTTTGAAACTATTTTCAGTAGTGAATTATTGATGAGTTTTTAATAGTTTATGGACAGTGGAGCTCTATTGCACAGAGCAATGAGCTATTATGCCTTCAACAATGATACTGGGATCAATTTATTGCTGGTTTTGGTCTTTTCATGGGATTTGTTGACAATAAGATATATGTGAAGTAATAGTAAAATAATAATATATACATTCAGTGAGTTCAGGAAGTCTGCTGATATTTTATAAATTCTATTCTAACATATACTTCACTTTTTTCTTATTTATTTTCAGATGAGTGTGGAAGAACTGCAGGTATGTTTGCTGGTTCCAGTCTCACTGGTTTAACTGTTTCTAGGATTCATATCATTTAGGCTTATTACCCCTGTATTGTAATTGTTTAATCAAGAAAACATTGATAGGCACATACAGTTTGTGCATTGCAGTACTTAATATTAATATAAACCTTCCACTTCTCATTAACATTTATGTTATGTCCTCCTCTACCTCAGGCTCAGCTGGCCGAGAAGACGACTATGGTGAGCGAGGCTCGGCTGAGGGAGCAGGGCTTTGTTGAGCGAGTGAGTGTCGGGCCGTGTGTGTGTCTGTGTGTGTCTGTGTGTGTCTGTGTGTGTGTGTGTGTGTGTGTGTGTGTGTGCGCTCTTCACTGGGGGACAAGTGAACAACAAATCCCATGCAGTGTATTCCCAGGATTTTGTGGCCCCCAGCAGGAGAAGCTACTCCTCTCCTGCTGCATCAACTTAATTACACAACACATCTGTTTACATTTGGTTTAACCCTATAAACAATCAGAGCAACGCGTCCCACAGTTTTTCTCACACACATCGTTGTTCTCACAATAACCCCCCGAGGATGATCACCAAAAAGCTGTGTTCATGTCTTTTTCAACAATTACGCTAATGTATAGAATTAACCCGCTAGGGTCAAATGCCTATTTTTTTATTTATCATTAATCTGTGCATGCTTGTGTGTTTCTCCACGGTAGATTCACTCGCTTGAGGACAAGATTAAATGTTTCCACCGAAGCACTGTTGTAACTCACCTCGGGAGCACATTCAAAGGTAATGTTAACACCATGAATCACTTAGTTCTGCTTCTTGAGCCAATTTCCTTCTAGATCAGCACAACATGCAAAATGCTTGAACACATGCAATGTCATGAGAAACATAAACTACCTATACACCTATAAGACAGGTTAACTAACTTTTCTTCTTGTACTAGGGTTTCTTTAACACATCACATGTAATTACATATTGTATTACCATATGAATTTCATAGTTATTGCCCACGGTGTTTAGTTGTTCTTTAGGATCTTAGAGTTTTGAAACCTTACCAGCAATCTGCCAGTCCCCACATCTCTCCGTGGACCAGAGATGCAGATTCGGTATAGTGTATGATGACGTGTGGTCTGGCTGTAGATATTTGGCTTCATGTCTGTAGCTCCCTGATTGGTGGGGTATTAGGCTCAGCGAGGGCAACCCGGGGTCAGCAGGAAAAAAGGCTGTGGGATTTACTGGTGACCCAGAACGTCATGCAAGAGATCAAAGAGTTTGTTGCACTTCTCTATCACCTTTTCCTGTCCTCCAATCGCACTGTCTTTCTTGGAACAAGCTTTTGGACATTTGATGTCTTCTGAATGATTATTCCAGATAAGCTGAGCGCAAGTGGGTGTTGTTCCATATTAAAGACCTGATGGGGATATTTCAGTGGTAGCAGCAGTAGTCTTTAAGTGTTACCATCCGTATCCACACTGCAGCACTGTTTCCCATTCATAGTTTTTAGAGGGATAATGGTGTGATAGCTTTGGGCAGAGAATTAAAACGTCCATTCTTTAACTCTGGCGGTATTAATGTGCTCCTGCTGAGCCTTGTCATTCTTTCCTGTACTTATAGCTGGTGCTTAATTTGAACCCATACCTGTGCAGAAAGTGGCTCTGTATATGGTTGCTAACACAAACATGATGCTCTGGGTTGTTTTTTTGTTGTTTGTCAGAATTTAGCTGGAGTATTTGACAGTGACAGGCATTGCTGTCTACTAGTCTTGTGTTAAAACTAGACAAGAAGAATAAACACTGTACATCTGAAGAACAAAATTTTAATGTTTTTTTTGTTTACTGTAATTTTCTCTTTTACCAGCAAACCTACTTAACATAGTTTCATGAAAACACATAGAATTAATTGACAGCAACCAAAGAGGCATGAAACATAGTGACTATTAACAGTTAAATTATTCATGAAATATTATTTGAATATGACAGCTAATTACTGAAGTCTTCCTCATGTATGCACTACAGTGGGACTGACCAGGTTTCAGATGATTCAATGGCTGTTTTTGCTTTCTTTTACAGACCCTGGATTTAACAGCACTGATGCACTCTCAGAAGCCACTGAGATGGAGTACCTGAGGAAGGTGTTGTTTGAATACATGATGGGACGGGAAACAAAAGTATGTTGTTGTTGTTTTTTTCTTACATTATTATAAAGAAATAATATTGCATGATCATTTGTGTGATTACATTTTTTCTGTATTCTTTCTGTTTTTTAATATTTCTGAATATCAGACATTGAATACCTTTCTCCATCTTAATAAATGTTTGGTTGACTGTGAAAACACCAGAAACAACAATGAAAGTAATTCAACAGGCGTATGACAAACGCACAGCAGCAGACGGGCGTCTCCAAGCACACCTGTTTATTTGGTTTTTGTATGTGCAGCAAAACGCAAAAGGGCTGGGTGAAGGTGAATATAGATAGAAATGTTGATCAGTACACTGTCAGTCAATCACACCACCGGTCTTATAGCTCTAAAAACAGCTGAGCCAATCAGAGCACAGCACGACCACAGCAGCTCAACAGATTTCTTCAGGAAAACATGTTGTTATCTGGACGTTGCATGTGAACACACAGGACCACAAATCTGCAGCCAGAGGCAGATGGTGTGGTCTTTTTTATTTAATTTCTACAATGATGATAGAAAAAAAAATTGTTTGATGAAGACATTTGTGCTAAGTTAAAACGGTTTATTTACATTTGAAGTATTTAGTTTGTTGCTGTTGATAAAATCACCAATGTGGCAGCAGAGTGACGTTACACCAGAAGCAGACCTGGTTCTGAGACGTTCTTTCATACTACAAATATAATAAAACATTTTCCACCAGAGTAGCAATGCCTCACCTTGCGCTGCCTCATTTGAATAAACCTCCAACCTGTTTGCACCTTTCCTCCCACCTGTGGAAAATGCCACGCAGACGAGCAAATTTCAAGATATCAAAAAGATTGAAAGAAAAAAAAAACAGAGTGCTGCTTGTGCCAGTTGTTGCGCCACCACAAAATTAGGGCCCCATGACTAATCATTCTTTCCCTAACAAAGACTTGCGTTGTAATTTCTAAATATTTAAGGATGTGGTCAATAAACTAAACCAAACCATTTAAAAACCACCAGATTGGAACAAGAACGGATGATATCAGAGAGTTAAGCCATCCCTATTTGTTTCAGCGTTGTATCCAGTGACCTCCATCTGCCACACAAAACATGAGAGCATTTAGGACGCCATATAAAAGTCATGTTGTGTCCAGTCTTCTTGGGTAAAATTAACAGTGATCTCCTTAATTAACAGTGCTGTTGACATGGTCCTAAAGACAGCGGGATTTTCCCAGCTCCTCAGCAAACAGTTAGTCTTTATAGCAACATGGCAGACCTCCCCTGTGTGGAGGATGTCCCCCAGGCTGCCTGCTAGCGCATACATCTTGCATGACGCAGACTTGCCATTTAAAGACATGCTGGCTTTGTTTAGTGTTAGTCGAGTGGTAAGGTTTCCTACACAGCAGCCCTGTTTCTGATTATCCCACTGGGTTTATGGGGAAATGCATGCACCCTGGCAGATGGGCCTGGAGTTGATTTTTAGTTTTTTTTTGATAATTGTCTCAGATCGTGGTGTCAAAGGTAGGGAGTTAGTGTATCTGATGTTTGTGAAAGGGACATTGGAAAATTGTTTGTAACATATGTGACGCATGTGTTAAAAATAAATGTTTGACGCTGAAAAAAATGAATGTGGGAGATGAAATTCGTTACGTTTTTTAATGTATTTTTTTGCTTCTCATCCACAGACGATGGCCAAAGTAATTACCTCGATGCTCAAGTTTCCTCCTGACCAAGCGCAAAAGGTTTTGGACAAAGAAGACTCAAAAGCGATTGTAAGCATCTCTTTACCTGCTGAGGAAACTTTTACTAAAGTCTCTTGAAATTTAAAAACTCATAATTCTTCATTTATAATTGAATGAATAATTGAATTAATTTCATGTGTCCCTCCACAGCCTTGGTTACGATGAGGCTCTGAATGATTTATGAACTTTTGGGATGAAAATCTGCTGCTGCTGCTACTGCTGCTGAGGGGGAAGACTGCCATGGATTTGATTAAGCCCTTCTCTCTGCATTTAATGTCATTTTAATGCGTGTGTGGGTGTTTGTATGTGTGTTGGAGCACACGCTGGGGCATCAGAGTTGTATGTGTCGTGTGTGTGTGTGTGTGTGTGTGTGTGTGTGTGTGTGTGTGTGTGGTGCTGTATGTATGAATATATCTGAAGGTATGAGGGAATTAGAGAATATGCCAGAAACACAAATCTTCCATGAATCCAGTTTTACTCTGAAATTAAGTTTGTTAATTTATATGTTTTAGAGTTTAAGTTGAATTGTTTTCCTTTGATTTTTAGAATGTGTTTATACAGATTGGCTTGTGCAATAAATTATATCATTATCACGTATTGACGCTGACAGGTCAGTTGATTTATAGGTTTCTGTGTTGTGCTGTTGTCTGAATCTCTTCCTCTGTAAAACTGTAAACGACCCTTTAACTGTGCACTCGCACCACATTATGATCTACTGGCCTCTGGACCTTGTTTTACACAGCTTTTCTATGCTTTATATTTTGTCACTGACATAGAAACGTAAAAAAACACAAACTGTAAATTGTACTATGATTATTAAAACTGTACTATAGGGCACTACATTTTCAGACTAACAGATTAAATCCTATTTACAGAACACCTTTTGTCACTCCTTTATCCTCATTATCATACAGTATCTTACATGGTAAATCCAATAGCTTATCTCATTAGCTGGTGTTACATTGTTTAGCCTGTCTGACGGAGGGTAAAGTATGATGACATCCTGTTGAAATAGACGTGGAATGCAGACATGACAACAAATCTGGGTTTCAAAGATCCTGTTGGTAGTGGGTCACATACTTCAATAGGGGTAACCTTTGTTTGACCTTTATTTCTTTCCTCCACTACAAAGATGCCGTTTTGTATATGAAGGGAATAGTGGGAACCATCATTTAAAGAGAATCAGAATAAACTTTATTGCTCAAGTATCTTTGTCGCTCTCAATATAAGAGGCTAGAAATACAAACCTACTGTTTTATGAAACAAATACTCAAAGTACACTTTATGGCTAAAATTCCCCTCCATAAATGTTTAAAAATACTCTAATACTATGATATTTAAGAAATATTTTGTCTAACCAAAGAAAAATAAGTTAAAAAATGCTTAGAATTCCACCTATTATCTGTCAGAATATGTGAATATTAGTAAATGATTTGTATATTTGATCAACAAATGACACAAAGTTTTGCTTATACTCTTAAACTCAGATTTGAGGTGAGCACAGAGAAACTTTACACATTTAGCAGATGAATTTCAGCCTTATAGTGACAAACTGTGCATATTGTACATCGTTCTGCACTGTGAATTAATAAGCTGTTTTTTATAACAGCAGAGAACAGATTTATAGGAGGATACAAATACAGACATACAGCTAAACAAATGTAAGACAATCTAAAGAACAGCTGGCCTATTAGACAGGCAAAGAGCTGGACAACAAATCTCTGAATGTACAGGTCAGATTGTTAGTGTGTGCTTGCATCGTGGTACAGTACAGGTAATGCTCGAATGAGTGCATGACATATTGTATGGATTATAAGTGACTATACACAGAGGTTCTTTATGTGCATATTGAATTAATGTGTACGTTATATATAGAGTGCTTAGCCATAAATATGACACTGAATAATTGGTATTGTATAAACCATATGACACTGTAATCTAGTGTTTCCAAACTGAGGGACGCCCACAAGATGTATTATGCTTATTTTTCAATCTCTCATTTAATCTTTGCCCTTTTCTTGTAAATCACAACAACTCTAAAAAAGCATTCAAATCAAATTAGGAAATTTAAATCAGTCTTTGGTTGACTGGTCACAACTGGTGGACATTGCTTTAGTTCAAGAGGACAGTGGAAGAAACCACATCAGAGGGGTCTCTCGGGTGGGTTTTCATTTTGAAAAATTTTGCTCTCCCCCTCTCTTATGTCTTATTATAAAGGTTTTGAAGTCCTTAGAACAGTTTGCTCATATCATTGTGTAACTGTGCAGAGGAATTGCACAACCCCTGATTCAAACTGAGAATCTCTGATCTTGAATGTGTATAAATCAATAAACTTCTCATTAATTTAAATGAAAATGAAGATGTTACTGAGTTCATTGTGAGTGGAAAACATTAGGTGGCAGCAGTGCGCACTCATCTCTCAGTTTAGGTGAGTAGCGCCCCCAAAGCCCACGGGTGAAATGTGATGCTTTGCGCCTCAAAACCATTCGCGTCTCTCCATGACCGCGTTACCCGTGTTAGTGCACCAGAATAAAAGCAGCAAGTTCCGATTTCACCTTTCACAATAAAAAAAACCCTTTAAGAGTTTGAGCGGTTAAACCAGCAGCTATGCTTTTATTTTCAGCGACACCTCTCTCATTTCCGTTCTTATCCCGGCAACCTCTTCTCAACTTGACGCAACTGACCGCATTTATCTCCGCGACAGGGAGCCTGCGAGCAACAACTTTCTCAGATTGACACAGAATGGAGAGAAGCTGACGCACCGTTATTTACCGGACCGTTAACTTTCCTCCTCAAGCTTTTCCTCATGCCATCGCAGCCTACATGCTGCGCTAGACTAGGAAGAAACAAGTGAGAGATAGTTTTGTAACAGTTTGACCACTGAAGAGCTGACAATTCCTCCTTATTGTTTTTTTCCCCCCTTTCTTCTTTTTGGACACTTTCACCGCGTTATTACGCATGATGCGCAAAGGGATGGCTTCACTTCGGAGGCAAAAAACGGGATTACAAAATGTTTTTTATGTCTGTCTCTCTATTTCAGTGGCTTATTCTTACAATATAGACTTAGAACATCCTTTGGTGTTCCGAGGACCAAATTCTAGTTTTTTTGGGTATTCTGTGCTGGAGCATTATCATGACAACACACGCTGGTGAGTCCCATCTTGTTATGTTCCTGGGAATGCTGTTATTTTCTGTCAGTGATGCAATGAATTTGTACTTTTGAAGCAAAAGTTGACGTGTCTCCAGAGCTCAGGCTGCATCCACACCCAATAAATGCAAAACAATCATGTGTAAAAGCAATCTCTGTTCGTGCTGTAACTGTTTCTGCAGGCAACAGATTTTCTTTTTTTATATAAAAGTTTTCAGTGACACAGATTTAAAGATACTGTAAGGTGTGTCGGCTGTGTCCCATCCTCTCCACTCTCCTCATGTCTGCAGGCTAATAGTGGGGGCTCCGAGGGCAAACTCGACCTACAGTAGCTCTGTGCACTCCCCTGGAGCTGTATATAAGTGTCGAGTTCACAGCAACCCGGAGCGACGCTGCACAGAGATGGATCTGGGCAGAGGTCAGTCACCGCTGCATGCAGCAGGAATACAAGAGCATATATACACTAACTGCAACCTCAGAGCAACACATGCACTCACACACAACTGCACAACTGTGTGTGTGTGTGTGTGTGTGTGTGTGTGTGTGTGTGTGTGTGATAATTCGGAAATAAACACATAAAAGTTCACTATCTGATTCTACAGTACACACACACACACACACACACACAACACACACACACACACACACACACACACACACACACACACACACATGCTGGCCTTCGCTGTAGCTTTTTCTTGTCCACTCTTTCTTGCATAAACTCCCCGAAGCATCTGTTTTGTTTTATCAGAATAATGCAGCCTTATCCTGCTACTCTTAAAAGTGCTACAGTTGTTCTTTCAGTTCTCAACCTGCTATATGAAGACGTGCAAAAGAAAAGGGGTGTTCTGTGTGCAGAGGTCTATAAATATTTTGATAAATATGATTTATGCTCCTGCTAATATTTTCCAAGCACATGAGCCAAAAAGTTGAGCTTCAACCCCCCCCCCAAAAAAATCCCCCCAAAACCCCCAGCAGCTCTGTTCTTGTGGTCAAAAAAGCCGGGCTGCAGGCATGGCTTTAATATTAACACCCGTGCTCAGTCAATGTGTCACCAAAAGACAAAAAACAATATATTATGACAATGAGTGAGTTCGTCTTGGTGCTCAGAGAACTGCATGGACCAGAGGACCTGGACTCCAATGGGCCTCTGGGAACCTGCAGCACACTGACACAGAGAAACACTCAGAGCTACATGCCATTGTCCTGAATCAATTGTCTTCAGGGAGAAAGAGAATAAAACTTGGGAAAAGGGGGGGCAAGTAAGGGAAATATCTGTTATTTAAGATTTGGACTCCTAAAAAGAAAAACAGTCCCTGACTTTTCAAAGTGCTGTGGATCTTTTTCTTGGTTTTATTCTCCTTATTATGCACATTTATGTTGATGTTACTTTTACTAGATTTATGTTCTCAATCATCTTTATGATTTATGGTCTTCATAAACTGGTCCAGTTCTAGCATTAAGTGGTAAAAGATACCCATAAGTAAATCATACAGTAAAGTATTTGTTCTTTGGATTTTTACATGTGTAGGTGGACTTCTGACCAAACAATCAATTGATTAATTAAGAAATTAATTGGTTTATGAAAGGAACATTAATTGTATCCCTAAAGAAATCCTTATAAAAATATTTTTGTTTATATTATTTATGTTATGTGTTGTTGTAAAAAATTTAATATCAGCCAATATATTTTCACACTTGGTTAACAACATCAAAAATACAGTGTCACTGCGCTATACTAAACGTCATAATAGATTTATTTCTCTGAGTAAAGGTGCCTTACAGTACTGACTGTACAGTAACAGAAGGGTTGTTGTGAAATCCTTCAAATCAGCAAAAAACATTGCCTTGATCTACATTACTTCAAACTGTCAACTGTGTAAAAAACACTCACATATTCAGCAGAAATAAAGAATAAAACCCGGAACTGAAAAAGCTGACAATGACTGCCAAGTAACAAGTTACTTGCTCCAAGACATCCTCTGTCTTGATGAGTCAACGTCTGCAAACTGCTCTCATTGTCTTTCAGGAAACAAGCCAAGAGAGTCGTGTGGGAAGACGTGCCAGGGAGACAGGGATGACGAGTGGATGGGGGTCAGCCTGGCCCGCCAGGACAGAGCCAATGGCAAAATACTGGTGAGTTCAGGGACACGACGCCCCAGTCACTAAATTCGCTAAATTATTTAATGTGAACCATGTACACTCGTAAAAACAGACCTAATTATACCGACATCATTGTTACAAATGTCTTACCATGAACCACACTGTTAAACCACAGCTGGTCTCAACATTACAGCCCTCCTTTAGCATAAAGGCCTTTTCCTTCCATTCAGAGTTACATGCTTACAAGCTCTGAATTGGAAGTGAAAACTGAACTTAAATGAGGATTTTTTTCAGAGGTGGAGTAACAACTAAAGTCAGACAGATTTGGAAACTGCTGCGTGGTTACATAATACTGTGAAACATTTACCTCGTGTTTGGAGTTGGACGAGTCAGTGGAACAGGTTTTTGTCAAGAGTAGATTGTTGTTTATGAAAATTGAGAGAGGGATTTAGAGAAATAGACTAACTAGTGGTGCTAATCCCAGAGGTGCTCGGCTGGGTATTTGCACAGAGATCATAGGGCAGCTGGCAGAGTTTGTTTAGGCTTCAGCCCCTCTGCGGTGGTCCCGTCCAAGGGCAGCCTTTCATTAAACGTTAACCCCCCCGTCTCCTGTGTGGTAGGTAGCGAGGGAACTTGCAGACTTCCAGGACAATTTAAAGGGTGACCAGTGGACTGAAAAACTCATGAAACACTCATGACAGGTGTGAATGTGCTTGAATACCTGTTGCTGATTGACCTCCTCCTCTGGGAGTAAAAAAAAATCATAAGAATTCCTCCCTCCACAGGCGTCCAGATAACTGTTTGGCCGGTAAACCTCTATTCCTTTCAATATGTTTGTCTTTGGTGCACTTTTTTTTGTAGCTCAGTGGAATGTATTGGCTTGATTTTCAAACCATTACCCTTGGCTTTATTCGTCGGTCAGGCCGTCAAAATTTGAGGACTTCTTGGAGTTGTCAGTCTTGGGGATTCAAGTGTAGAGCTGTAGAACAGCAAACAGGGTTACGATAAAAGAAAGGTTGTGGCTTTCCAGAGCCACGTGTTGCTGTGCCTCTCTAAAGCACAAAGATGTTTTTTTTTAATTCTCATCTGAATGGACTCACGTTTCTGTGCAACAGGAGGGAAACGGCTGCTTGGCAGATGTGTATTTTGGTGATTTCATCTTTGCTTTCAGTGGAGCCTGTGTTTGTGACCAGTGAGCCCTTTAACTGAACAGGAACATGACAACAGCACAGGCTCCATACTCCAAACATAAAAGCCTTCTTTGCTGCGTCAACAGAACTCGTCAGCTGCTGCAAGAGCTCCTTTTTGCTATGTTTATGTCAGGTGATTGATCTTTTTTTTAAAGAATCTGCCTCTACTCAAGAGGGAGCGTTCATGCTGCATTGCTACTACTGTTGGCTAAGCTGTCCTTTGAAACACAAGTGTTTCTCAACATAGCATCTTGCTTCCAGACAGTCATCTGACGCTCCGTGTGCGCCCACAATCTGCCGAACTCTTATATTCATTTAGATTGGCTCTCTGTGTGTCTGTGTGTCTGTGTGTCTGTGTGTGTGGGGAGTGTACTGGGGGAGTTAAACAGTGCAAAGGGAAATGAAGTGAACTTTGTCTGCACAGAGGCGTCCAGATCTGTCCCCAGAGCCACAGGAGCCCCACCACCAACCCCCCCCCCCCCCAGTACTAAATTATTACCACATTTACACATTTATGTGGCCCGATTTGTGCAGAGTTTGAAATCTAGTCTATGTTATCCTGTTTGCTTACCGATCTGTGGAAGGAAAAACACAGCAGTGAAATATTGTGTGGAGAATTACTCACTGTCAGTTTTAGAAATGTACCCCCTGTTTCAGCAGCAGCATGATAATGTAGGAGTTGGTTCTTTGTCTTTTGATCCACTCTCTTTTTTTTGCTGTCTGAACTTTTGGCTTCTCCAGCTGCCTGTGAAGCCTGAAGGAGCTGTTTTGAAATTAAAACCTTTAAAACACAACTGTTACTGTGAAGATTTAAATTTGTATTTTTTTTCGCTGCACATGAAATGCTGCTTAGGAAACACAGTTCTCAAGATGCTGTTGAGATATTCACACCACAGACCATGGCTGTTATGGTCAGGGTTATGGATGGGCTTTAATTCCCCCTCTCATTGACGATCATTTGACAGCCACAGAGACGCACTGACTCCAGCCCAGCGAGGAAGAGGATTAAACTATCAGCGTGGTCGAGGAACGCCTGCCTGCAGTCTGAAAGTGTTTGTGTTTACAGACTAAACGTGTGTCTGAACTTGTTTTCCTTTCCTGCTTTTTTTCCCTTGCAGGCTTGTGCCCACCGCTGGAAGAACGTCTACTACGACTCAGAGCACATCCTTCCACACGGATACTGCTCCATCATTCCTCCCAACCTTCAGGGCAGGACGAAACCGCTCATCCCTTGTTACGAAGGTACAGTGACGGCACCATGGCGGGCAAGCACATCACACATTTGATTTATATTTTCATTAATTTTAACCCATATGAATGACATCAACACTAGAAAAGATCAAACGCATTGCTGGGGGTGAGAGGTCTTGTTCATTACTCCAGTGGCTCCCAATCCTTTTGCCTCATAACCCCTTAAAATCAAGACAGGTGTTGATATGAGTTGTGTGCAGTTTAATTAGATATTTTCTTCTTCCATTGTTTAATTTTAAGGGTTTTTTTTAAGATCTGAAGATATGTTTCATAAGAAAAAAGAATAAATTTGAGTTAAATCAGAAAAAACGATGATGATAATTGGGTGTAAGGGAAATATTTTTTTGCCACACTAGAGGTGCGGCTCGAGGGATTGCGATATTGGTTGGTCAACCCACCACTTTGGTTCAGACTGAAAAATGTCAACAACCACTGGATGGATTAAAATAATTAACTCTGGTTCAGACAATCATGGTCTCCAAAACGAAGGAGCCTAAAGACTTTGGTGATCCGGTGCAACCATGCAGTTCACATTTGTGGTTTTAAGTGAAATGTCTCAACAGTAATAAATTGCTATGAAATCCTCTCAGTATCAATCAGGCCATGTAATGTTACAAAATAACTGGTTTGTGCAATGTGTTGTCCGACCACATCGGAAATGAAAAGTGTTTGTAGTTGTTCCAAATGGTAACACTGGAAAAGGAGGTGAATAGCCAGAGGACACAATATCGTTTATATTAAATTTTTAACGTGTGGATAATATATTTCACAGTCTCTGCTGGAAGGTATTCAGAGGTGTGTACTTAGTTCTTCACATGGAAAGTGACAGGATCGTCAGACATCTGAAAGGTGTCATGGGAGGCTGTTTTCTGAGGTTTTTTGAACATCTAATAAGTAGTTCTGATGAAGCATACTGGCTCCTTAAGAGGGCAGTTATTATTGTTATTGTGAGTATGTTAGCATGCTGACATTAGCATTTACAGCTTCACAGAGGCTGGATCATGGCTGTAGACTAATCTTGTTTATTCATAATTCCTTTCATCATTTTGTGACCCCACAGATTTATCTTGGGAGTCCTTGAGGGGTCCAGACCACCAGGTTGAGAGCCACTAGCCTGTTTATACTCTTCTGTGGTTACGCTTTATCATGGCACGTGATCTGTGCAGCCAGCACCATCAGTGCAAAAAACCCCACATCTGCTTCTAGCCTCTGATTGGTGTTTTGGCACTGAAGACTAGTAGCAGGAGAGCCTTGAAGTGTGATCGCTCTCCCTCAGTCCAACACGAGTACTTTGGCAAGAGCCCACTCCTACTACTGAAGGACACACAGTTTGTTAAACCGAACATACGAGTGTTTGTCCCACTGAGATGGAGAGTTTGTATTCCCGATGCACCTTTTCGCAAAAGAAAAACATTTTCACAAAGGTGTAATTATGCCAGCGTTGAATGTAGAAGTACAGATTTTGGCTTGATTTTGCAGAAATCAGGTGCTTTTAAGGACAGAGTTGCTAGCAAGGAAGATAAATCAGATTTTTGTTATGATTGTAGTAAATCATATCCATTTGGGCTGCAGGTTGTTATCCTGTGTGCACCCCCTACAACACTAAAAATCAAGTTCCATTTAAAGAATAGTGTACTGTATGATATTTTAAGCTGACTCATGCAAATGTGTTCTTCATATGTTTTGATATGTGACTCAGAGCTATTTATCAAAATCTGTTTTACAAATTAATTGTGCTGCCAGGTCAGGATTTCACTTCCTTCCGTAACTCTTGTTGCCAACCGTTGTGGACAGACAGACTTTGCATGGGACTGTATTTACAGTGCATTTTGCACTGATCCAAGCTCAATATTTTTGTAATCTGAGAGCACTGTGTACCCCCCCCCAAGAAAGAGGTCCTCTAGTTGAATGTGGTGTTGCACCCCTTCTCTCAGTCTCCTTTCGGCCCCCAGAAACCCTCGTGGATGGGACTGGGCTCTTGACTAGCTCCATATGGAATGCAGGAAAAACTCCAGTAAACGCTGGCTCAAGCACACAGTGAAATAATTTGTGGTTTGTTTTTTCTTACAGACTATAAGCAGAAGTATGGGGAAGAGCATGGCTCGTGCCAAGCCGGGATAGCGGGAGTTTTTACGGAGGTCAGTAACAGTGCTTGTTCATCTTCTTAATCCATGTAATGCTCTCTTTCTGTTAGTCTAACATAGAGACAGTTGTTTTGTGTCATCTAAACTCTGCTGTCTGGACAATCACGAAGCTTCATCAATCAGCTCAATCGTCTTTTTTTTATTATCAAGGGAGGCATTCTCTCATTCTCTCACTTTAAAGTGTGATTGCCGTTAACATTACCACATGCCTGATGTTTCAAAGAACCTTTTTTCCCTCACTCTTTGTTGACTTTGTCTCTCTGGTGTTATGGAGCTAGTTAGCAGAGAAGTTATATATATATGTGGCTGAGGGGGCTATTTCCCCCTCAAGTTGTTTAAGATGTCAAATGATGTGGAAAATCTGAATTCTACAGTCAGATATACATATTATAGTATTTGTATCAAAGCAGCCAGCACTCTGCTGACTAACTGCTGATAACTGTTTCCATAGGAAAGGTTGCAACAACCTCACTTGACCTGGTGTGGTTCCACGAGATAAAGTGTTTAAGAAAATAGAAGTTCCCTTTTATCTATAGCACAGATGCACTTCTGTCTGACATCATCCTCGGTTGTACGATACCTTTTGTTCTCCTGCATGTTTGTCTGTAGAAAGACGACGCTGGGAGCAGAAGTGGTGAGAGGAAGGTCAAATAATTTTAACGTATAAATGCAGTTGAGGAAAAAAATCAAGTTTGACAGGGAAAAAAAATGTGCATATGTGAAATACAATTCAATTTGAAAATGTATATTTGACCAGTTTAGACATTTTGTTTTCTATACATTTACAATGTAATTCTTTCCTGATGTTGCCCGTGAGCGGCATGTTCTGCAAAGGTCCTTTTCAAGTCTCGAATTACACTTACGCTCAATTTTGGACATACAGTAAAGTACAGTAGACTCTGAGTAACTTAAAATGTGTCCTCGGAGCACAGCTGTGCCCTTAGTTTCTCTTTATTTTACTTATATTGAATAACATTATTTTATTGTAGTGTAGTTAGAGTGACAATGAACTAATCAATTAGTGGATCAACAGAACATTAATCAACAGCTGTGTGAACATTGATTTAGTCACTTTTTGAGCAGACTGTTAGGATTTGCTGCTTTTCTCGTTGTACACTGAATATTTTTGGGTTTTGGACTCTTGGACGGACAAAACAAGACATTTTAAGATGTCCCCTTGGGCTGTGGGAAACAGTTTTGGACATTTCTCTCAATTTTCTGACATTTGATAGATCAAATGATTAATGTAGAAAATAGACAGCAGATAAACCGATAATGAAGGCTTAGCTTTTAAAAACAGTTTTCCTGTCACAGATACAAAAATAGGATAATTTCACATGATCTGCCTGCTAACTTGTTGAACATTTCACCGCAGATTCTTTGACGTGTGTGTTTCAACGCAGCATCAAAGAGCCTTTGAAAGTGTGGTTCACGGCTGTTATTAAGACTCCGGCTCCAAAGCAGCGTATGACGCAATGTTAAGTTGGCTTTAGTTTCATTACTTTATTATGTAAATCCCCGAAACATAATTTAAAAGCTGGAAATGACTGCACAGGTGTCAATCTAGTTTAGGACATTTTCCTGAAGCATGAGATGGTTCAGTCGACATCATCATGTGAAACCTGTAAATACTAGAGAGAAGGCTTCTGGCTTCAGGAAAGAAAATACTCTGTTGGATTCCACAATGAACCTACTGTTTTAAAACCAAAGACAAAATCATCAAACCCACTTTTTTCCCCCAGATGAGGACAATGAGGACGTCAGGGTTGATCTGTTAAAGCATTTGAACAATCCCCCCCCTTCCTTGGAAGAATTTGAGGAATTTAAAGAAAAGATGTCCAACTGTTAAACCTTATCCCTGTCTGAACCATGGTGCATATGCCTGGTGGTGCCCAGATGTTTGACACCACGGCACAGCGGATGCATACTGCAGAGTAAGGTCCTTGCTGTGTTGTTCAGTTTGTTTGAGTTCTCAGTGGTAGCTATGCATACTCTGAGACAGATAACATCAGTTGTGTAAAGAAAGGAAAAGGAAGTGGTGAGCAGCGGTACAGCTTTGTTTGGTTGAAACAGAGCATCTTAATTGTGCTGCTCTGGTCCCTTTAATAGCTGTGGAGCATCACAACAAAACGCTGTGAACGACTCATTTTACAGCTGTCAATTTTGTTCAGGCTCTGAATTCCTCATCACATCAAAGGAGGCAGCATCGGCTGGCATGCCGTCTGGTTGTGTGGTTAAGGGCAGATAACACAAACCAGTCTGTGGCCATTGGTTAACCAGACGTTCACCCAGTAGCACTTTTCTTTTTTCCCTCTTTTCTCCAGCAGGATATTGCAGTGCAGATAGAAGGTGACTCAGAATCATCTGAATGAATGTTTTGGGGGGTGTTTTAATTTACAGGAGCTGGTGGTGATGGGGGCACCGGGGTCATACTACTGGACCGGGACGATCAAGGTGTACAACCTGACGTCTGACTCCTTCTACAGCCCAAACAAAGAAGATGTCGACTCCCACAGATACAGCTACCTCGGTGAGACTGAGCATAGCTGTGTTGAATGTGAAATATATCAGGATATCAAAGGAGCTGTGACTGATTATTGTCTGTGTCTCCAGGCTACGCTGTGACTGCTGGACACTTCTCTTCTCCTAATGTAATAGACATAGCTGCAGGGGCACCTCAGCACAGCGGCAGTGGGAAAGTAGGCACTTCATCTTTTGACTTGTTTCCAGCTGTTGAACTCCTCTTGTGTCGCTCGCTACAGTGATTTGTTTTTCTCCTGCACAGGTTTACATTTTCAAAATCGATGGTGTGTCTTTGGTGAAGAGTTTTCAAGCCTCAGGGAAAATGGTATGAGCTTGGATGTGGTCTTACAGTCTATCCCTGTTTTTAATCATTACACAGCACATATTTTACATTGAGGCTATTGTTATACTATACTTTTTCATCAGGAACAGCACAACAGAATTTTTTTAACCTGATTTTCCTCAGGGATCATGTGGTTGCGTTGCAGACACGCTACTCTAATTGCTTTGTTGTCAGAACTTCACTGTTTATGTCTGTGTTAAGTGTTTAGACAGCGATTTAAAGAAGGAACACACTTGCCAGGAACCAAAGCCAGGGAGGTAGCTAATGCTTTCCATTCAGACTGAATACAAGGAAGTCAGGCCAGCTTTAGGACATAAGTTGTGTAAATATTCCTTTAATATTGGTCTAAGGGGAAATAAATCCAGTCAGCGTGTGAATCTTATGTCAATCATATGAACTGAAGAAGAAGTGTCTGTGATCTGACCCATTGCTCTGTGGCTCGGCTTGGTTCCAGATGGGCTCTTACTTTGGCTCCTCATTGTGTGCAGTTGATCTGAACCAGGACGGCCTGTCGGACCTACTGGTGGGGGCACCCATGCACAGCCAGCTCCGGGATGAGGGCCAGGTGTCTGTGTACCTCAGCAAGGGCAATGTGAGTGGGATCTGTGGGTCAGTGGGAACATGATAGCATAACTTGCAGGTTTATTTTACTACAGTATATGTCCAGTCTCTCTCTTTGAACGACGCAGATGTACCTTTCTGTACAGTTATTACTGCCCGCAGTGTCGAATTTTTAGCTCTGCTCGTGTTTGATTTCTTTCTGACCATGTTTGTTATCTGGATACGAGAATAAAACAGTGGAGAATTGTGTGATTCGGCAGTGAGATTATTTAACTGACCAGGACTAGAGCTACTGTTTGTACATTTTATATTTATGAGTTATTTTGCGAGGAAGTTGACTGTCTGTTTGGATAAAAGCCTACTAACTGCAGTCGTGGCCAAAGATTTTTATCGGAGAAAACCTGCAATAATTTCACTGCAGCAGTTTACTGTCAGCTCAGTATATAAACTGTTATCTTGCCGGCTTCTGTTTTCAGGGGGTGATGGAGGAGGAACGTGTTTTGAGTGGCGACAATGCTTTCAATGCACACTTTGGAGAATGCATTACCGCAATCGGAGACATAGATGATGATGGATATCAAGGTCAGTAAAAAGTACTTATATACTTATTGTATTAGTATTTATATGTTTTAAAAGGAATAGTACACTCAGTGTTTAAACATTTTGCATTTTGCCAGTGGGAAGACAGAAATAGAGATTCTTAAAATAGAAATTCCCAACCTGTGGGTCAGGATTCCTTCAGTGGGTCACAACATAAATCTTGAGGGATTGTGAGATGATTAATAGCCAAAAAGAAAAGTTCTGCAACAGAAAAGTTTTGTTTGTTTTTTGTTTCACTTCTTTCACACATTTCAGGTTGTTTTACCACAACCTGAGGGGGGAAATCACTCTTTAAATGAACTGCTGTTAACTGATAGACATCTGAGACTTGTGTCAAGGTGTCACAAGTCGACTCTGATTTACTTTAAGGGGTCAAAAGCCAAAAAGTTGGGAGGAAAAAGGACGACGCTGGGGGTTTAACATGTTTTAGTCCGTTAAACACAAATCTCTTGTGTTTTACTTTAGTGCTGACCAACTAGGCAAAAAGTTTCAAGATTGCCTTCCATCCTTGCAGGCAGGCACTGTTTTTAATTTAATCTGTTTTTATTTAAACTGTTGTGCAGCGATATATTAAGAGCAGAAAGTCTTTTCGAAATGATCCTTATGAATCAGCTTCTGCAATACAAACTAAAACAAATGTAGGTCTCAGATGCCAGAAAGTTCTTGAATGCACCAGAAAGGAGAAATCTCAAGTCTTTAAATTCAAAACTACGGGTATTGTCCTTTAACCACGAAACTTTGTCTGGGCATGTAAACCCTTCGTAACACTGGAGCCACTGGTGAGAGGTCAGAACTCAGATCGGGGTCGTGTTTTATATATATAAGCCTCGTAATGGCCCCCCAGTGGTCTATGAATCTATAATCCAGGCAATGGCAACCACTTTGGAATAGTATTCAGTGCTGTTAGTGTGACATTGTTGCAACAAAGCTCTTTCTCCTGTCATCTGACGAGATATAAAGTCACACAGTTTATACTCCTCACATCAGACCACAAGCAAATGTTGGCCAGTTGAGATGCTCACTAGGTGCAACAAACCCCTCATTTTCACAGACATTTTGTTTCGATTACCCTGCGGTGAGGAGGATCTTCAGAAAATATTGCCCTCTCTCACCCTTCAGTGCACAGAGTCATCCAGACACAAACCAAATGATCCACACACACACACAGACATACATTTACGCTGTCTGTTTTCCTGGCACTTGCACGGCTTGGCTCTGAGGGCTCAACTTGGCGTCCGCCTCACACTCGAGACTGGAAGTTGCTGCCCGGTTTCATCTCTGTGTGAGATACGCCTTGAGGCTTGCAGCCTGGCACACTGTGCGTGTGTGTGTGTGTGTGGAGAAAGATGGCAGCTGGGAAGTATAACTCATCTTGTAACTCGTCACTCTCGGGGTGTGGAAAGAGCCAGACTGACAATCTATTATTTACTACTAAAGTGCTACCATTTAATTTAAAAGAACTACTGTAGAAATCATAATACACATTTGGTTTCACTAACAAATTACTTGTTTAATTCTCCCTCTACATAATGAGTTCATTATTGTGTGGTATTCACTTAAGAAAGTGCCATTCTTTTACCATTTCTGTTTTGGTATGTGCACCACATGGCATGGAAGTGTTTTGGTTTATAAAAAGAAAGTTTATATATGGACTTGCTGTGGAAATGGGATAAGGAGACGTTGTTTCAGTGCTCTCGCCAGCACTTTATAGTCGTGTTTCCACTCTCTCAGAGGTCGCACAAGTTTTTATGGCCACTAACAACACTTAATTGTCTATTAAGAGTCTTACTGTAACAGCTTGTTTTCCCAGGCACTGGCCAGCTGAAAGTAAACAGGGGGTTAATGAAAGCTTTTGTACACATTCACAAACACACACAGTCATTTGCTTACTCATTCATTTCTATGCCGACTTTTCACAGAAACACTTTTTTTGTCCACTGTTTGTTCAGATGTAGCCATAGGAGCACCTAAAGAGGATGACTACGGAGGAGCAGTTTATATCTACCATGGGGATGCCACAGGAATCATCAGCAAATACTCCATGGTAAGAACTTTTCCTAGTGTCAGACAACACTGTATATCATATATCTAATTTATTTTAATGACATTTTTCATAGTAAACAAAGGAATATCATAATGTGATTCTGTTTTCCTTCATTTCTAGATGTTGTAGTTTCTCTACAGCTTTACCAACGCTTGCTAAATTTTGATGAAAACCATGTGTTCACCTTGTGTATTGACACAGTAGCTGTTGAAGTAGCTGCATAATGTGTGGTAAAGTCGCAGGTGGTGAAGTAGCCACGGGAATACACATAGGACCACCGCAGCTCTGAATAAGGAACAAGCTGTTCTTCATGGGCTCCTTTTTCTTAGTGACTGCAAAGTATTTCAGTGTTAAAAATATTTTTATTAGAGTAGTAGACCATCATCACCACTACTTAGTACTTGTTTTGTCAAAGAGTTTCTCCTTTTGAATCAGTATTACAACAATTATTCAAGATTAAGGCACAGACAGTGGTGTATTTTAGGAGCAGTCGTGTGTCTAACATTGTGAGGCAGTGACACGTCATTGTAATTATTCAAAGGAAAATATATTAAATAATATATTAAAGGAATGATTTGATAATCAAAGATCCATTCCACTCATGTGGTATGGATCCCATCACACATGTGTTACGTACAGAGCTCAATACTGGAGGCGAGTAGCTTAGCTTAGCATAAAGACTGAGGACAACGGCTACAAAAAATCCACCTACCAGCACCTCTGAAGCTCTCTAATTAACAGAATTGATCTCGTTTGTATAATCCATACAACAACAAAAACATTTAAAAACAACAAGTTGTGGTTTCGCATGGATTTCTTGGCCAACAGCTTGTTTATGTGCAGATTAAACAAACAATATGTAACATGTAGGTGTATTTTCGAACTCTGGAGAGAGCCAGGCTAGCTGATTCCCCCTGTTTACAGTCTTAATGCTAAGCTACCAAATCTGTTTTTTACCTAAAGCAGAGAACGTTCATCTATGAAAAACAAACGCAGAACAAAAACAGATCATGCAGTGTTTTCTTTTTTCCATGTTGGCTGCCATGTGTTGTTTAAAGGCTGGTATCATCTGTTACAGAAACTATCTGGGCGCAGTGTAAACCCTGGTCTGCAGATGTTTGGCCAGTCAATCTCCGGCAATGTTGACATGGATGGCAACGGATACGCAGGTACAGCCAGACCATGTTAGATGAACGTCTGAAAGATTTTCCATCAGGAAAATAACATAAAAACAAATTAGAAAGGATGAGATTATTATTTGTTTTTGCACCCTCATGGGTTTTTGACTCTCATCCTCTTGCAACAGCAGTGCAAAGACTCGTGATAGAGGCATCTTGTTTACTGCATTCCACAGCTGACATTGAGACTTAGCCAGCATGACAGTTAAAGACCTCTGTGCATTGTTCTGGATTTGCAGGTGTAAAGAGTGCTGTCAGCAGATGTTGCATTAATATAATATCTTCTGTATGGCTTTCCAAATTAATCATGTTTCCGGGTTTTTTTGTTGCAGATATCACTATTGGAGCTTTTATGTCAGATAGTGTGGTACTGCTGAGGTGAGTAACTGGATCATTCTCTGTGACACTGCAGTATTTTCTTTCTACCTCTGAGTCGTTTTAATGTCCGGTCTCTCCCACGCTTTGTTCCTGTGTCGGTTTGTGTGGTTGCAGGACCCGGCCTGTCATTACAGTGGATGTCTCCATCTTTCTGCCCGTCTCCATCAACATCTCTGTGCCGCAGTGCCACGAGGGCCACCTGAACCTAAACTGCTTCAATCTCACCGTCTGCATGCGCTTCCGGGGAAGACAGCTCCCCGGACAAATAGGTGAGGACAAACCTTACAAAGGTTATCAGTCAACTCTGAAAGGACCTCTAAACCACCTGTGGGCTCTTACCCACTCAAACAAAACAAAACCTATTTCTACAATAGCAAGGGTAAACTATAAGTAGAGGATAGACTGAAAATAAAGACGTTTAATCACATTTTAATATTGTGGCTTAAAGGAATAGTTCTATATATTATATATATATATTGGGAAATTGTATTATTATTAGCTTTCTTGCAGAGAGTCAGAAGATTGATAGCTCTCTGTGTCTGTGTACTATACAAGGCTGGAGCCAGGACGCTTAGCTTAGCTTAGTTTGAAGAATTGAAGCAGTGGGGGCTAGCCTGGCTCTCCTCTAAAGTATAAAACTTACACTAAAGTATACAACTCCTCCTCTAAAGCTTAATAATTAACACGTTGTACCATTTGTTTAATCCATATAACCAAAAATGTAAAAAGTTGTGGTTTAACAGTTGTGGTATTTCTTGGCGAGCAGCGTCCAGGCACAGGGACTTTCTTATAAGTGAATAAAAGCCATAAATCATGATGTTGATCAACAATGCTGTCAAACTCTTGCAGATGCTATATATTATGGTTCTTGTGTTGTGAGGAAGTGAAATTCATACTCCTTGAACTTTTAGTCTTTTAAATGGGGAAAATTTGTAAACAAGCTGAGCAATTCTCCCCGTGTTTGGAGACGGTCAGTGTGGTTAGCCTTTGGCCTGAGTGTTAGTGCCTTTAGCCGATGGTTTACCCTTCGGCCTTTGCTAACTGGCTCTTGGGTGCGGCGCCTGTTGAGTGCTGAGGTGCAGTCCTGTTCCAGTTTTTGGGTGTGGTCATTCACAACCCCCCAGGGAAGCAGGAGCCCTGTCGTTACATAATGACTTCGTCCTGGCTCGCAGGAATAAAGCTTCTCTGTTTTGCCGTCTGGCTAACGCCATGGAAAGTGCAGCACCATGTGTTCGGTGACTCCCATAATGAAACCTTCCTTTTGCCTCCTCTGGAGTGAGCTCATGGCGTTCTCTCTCTGTTGGACGAAGGGGAAACAGTAGGCTTTGGTCCAACTGGGGTGTGTTTGCCACCCTTCCCACTGTTTTACCAGTAACACCCTCTTGAAGCAATTACTACAGACTGAGGCTGATTCATTCAGAGGATTTTAAATGGCCGGAGGTCCTTATATGGTTTTCTCGGAAATCTTGGTAATGTTTGACTTCATGCTTAGGATTTCTCATTTGAAAATAGATTTGAAGTTGTTCTGTGTGTCAATGTTACTGAAGCCAGGGGTGGGTCCAACAGGAATGTTTTCTTTCACAGTAATACTAGTCCTGCCCCTCCAACTGGAAAATTAATTTCCTTTTTTTGTTAATTCTTGTCTGCTCACCTTAAGCTGTAAAAATATTGGCACAAAAAAACGCTGTCTCTATGGATAGGTTAGTCCTCAGTCATTCCAGCTAACGTATTATTATTATTTTGTATGTCAAATTAAATTCTAAGACAGTTTTCATCCCAGTAGCAAACCTATGCACACATCACGTTAAAATCTACTGAAATTAGCGGTTTTCATTACACAACAGCAGACAAAGGGCTCTTGTTAAGTTAAAGTAATATCAGATGATTTGACCAAGAAATGTCAAACATGTTCCCATCTTCCCTCTAACTCATTTTACTGCAACAAGTGATAATTTATTTTTTCTCATGTTTTGATGGTAGTTACCAGAAAACCAAACCCTGCATACTTAAAGAGTTTCTCAACATTATCTTTATTTAAAGAACCATCACTGTCAGTTGATATTATGTGTAATAGTGTTTCTCTCTCTTCTCAGAGTTGCTGTATAACTTGACAGCTGATGTGGATAAACGACAGAAGAGCCAGCCTTCGCGAGTCTACTTCACTCAGAGCGGATCCCAGATCAGCCAGATGAGCCAGCAGCTCAGCCTGGACATCAACAGGGAGGAGTGCCAGCGCTACACTGCCTACGTTAAGGTAAAGCTGGATTTTCTGCTCTCAGTGCTGGCTCTGTTTGTGTTGTGTTGTCCATGTGCTGCTCATGTCCTCAGCTGATCTTTCCCATGGCCTTGAGCGCTCTCATCCCGCAATGTTGACGTGTGATATGAGTTATTTGCTTATGTGCTCTGTTTTTCTTTCTTATCTATTTTTGTAGTTTTTTGTTGGCATGTCAAAGTCCGTAAGCTTCCGGCTAAAAATGTTTAGACAGATCAAAACAACAGAAATGTTTTAATGTCAAAATAAGTTAAGGGCCGTCACATATCGTATAGTTATGTAAGAGCAGTGGCCGCTGTAGCTTACGGCTACGGATCCACAGGCATCTGCTGGGAAGCTCTTTGTGTCATGCTGCTGGGTTAGGTTAAAGGTAATAGTCAGGCGCTTGATGGTTCATGAAACCATGCTGCTCAAGTGTGCGTCTGCAGAAACAGACAGAAACAGGAAACAGAGTCTCCTTTGTCGCTGCATAGTCCCTCTATTGTGTTCCTCTGTGATTTAGCCGCGTAGCCTCAGTGAGGGTCCCCGTCCTGAGGGCACCATCCTTGTTTCACCTCCTCTAATACGGAGGCCCACTGCAGGCCTGTAAATTTCACAGGCATTCTTAACTGTGCTCTCCAGGCGCTTTCACCGTGGGAGGCTGAGCTGCCAACTGAGGGGGGCTGTCATTACCATGCCTGCCTCTCTTCCGTCAACCATTCAGACTATAATGAGTGTATATCACACAGAGCAGTTGTAGCAATGAGCTCCTGTACTCGTCACAACATACACATCACAGTTATCAGTGATGTCTGGCATGTGTTTATCCAGGTTCTTCAGTAAACCTGGATAGAAGAATTTAAATTTAAATTCTCACTTTTCTCCATCTAAGTTTCAACACACAGACCTTTAACAGGAGGGTAAGTCATGTAAAACAGTGTTTCTGCCCAAAGTAAGTCTGACATATCAACACTTGAACCAAACATCAGGTTTGTGGGTGGCCGAGTAAATTATCACTCAGTTGTAGCTCTTAGCTGCCACATATCTGTGGCATCTCTCTGGCTGTGAAATAAACACACTTATACTTTAAGTGCCATCCATCAGGCCACAAGTTACTTCAGGGACAAGACGTACTGTGCAGCTCTGTCGGTTTGTTCAGGCACCAAAGGGCCTGGATGAAATTGTGCTTTGATGTTTTTGGGAAATTGTCGGAAACCTATTCGGGAAATGTACGTATTTGCTTTCATGCTGAGAGTTAGATGAGAAGATTGATGCCACACTCATGTCTGGCTGTTCATTATCAATCTGGAGCCAGGAGGCAGTTAGCTTAGCTTAGCATAAATACTGGAAACAGGTGGAAACAGTAAAAAGAATACACCTGTAAAGCTTACCACTTAACATGTTATATTATGTTTCGTTGACATGTCGAAAAACTGAACTTATTATTGTTATATGGGGGGTTAAGTGACTTTTTCTTGGCTAGGTGACTCCTGGAGGGTGTAGCTTTTGTAGTTTTTGTACGGATTGAGCAAATAAGACCTAATGAAGTGACCTTTAGAGATGCTGGTAGGTTGGTTTTCTACCTGCAAACAAAGCCAGGCTAGTTTGCTATGTGCAGGGAGGCAAAGTTAACCATCTCCTGGCTCCAACTTCATATTAAAGGAACAAAAACTGATCTTCTCATTTGAATCACAGCAAAATAAATACATTTCCAAAAATATTTAACTATTCCTTTAAATATTTCAGTTTATAGCTGTCGAGTGTCTTTTGGGGTGACTTCGTGCACATAACATTATATCTTTTGTCAGTGGGAGTTTTGGATTGGCTTGACTGACGTGTGAAGTGTAGCATGGTTGCCCAGCTGTGTAGATTATTATTTTTATGCTATATGTTGCCACAAATTCCACCTGCTCAGCAGCAAAAAACCAGAGGTGATATTCCCAGAGTTACCAAAAGTTTAAAAAAGCCACACAGGATGGTAAAGGTGTGGTGCCCAAATTGCAACCTTACCAAACAGTTTACAGACTGAATGACCTTAGACATGTATGAAAACTAAAGGGTACAAAGATTATGACCTAGCATGATAACTGTCTGCCATGAATCTTCCATCATCATCATACAGTATGTGTTTGTCCCAAACTTGAGAGAAGAGCTAAAGAATCACCATAATCAGAGGTGATCTGACTCCACTATGAGAGAGGCTCTAGTCTGCTTGACCAATTGGATCATTTATCTTCCTCATGTGTCTGCCCACATGCGCCAGTCTTCCCATTCCCCAGAAGAGGTATGCTAATGGAAACCAGCTGGTAGCCCGACTGCATCCTCTAGGGATTATGCACCCCCGCCCCACCCTTCTCTCATCTAAAACATACAGTGAAAACACAGGACTGAGGCTAGCGTCACAGCAGGGTGCTGGGCTGCTGTTGTGTCAACTGGAACTGCATGCTGGAGCTGCTGATGGAAAACCCTCACGTCAGGGTTGATTGCTCAAGCCCTGATGCATGAGGGCCGGTGGAAGGAGGCCATGAGCTATTCTGAGCCACTCTCACGTTTGTAACTCTGTTGACCATCTGTCGACCCCATTTGTTGACTTTATAAATTGTATAAACACTTTTAAAGGACCTCAGTTAACAGCTAAATTTAATAATGCGCTGGTAAAGCTGTATTTGTCCTACATAATGTACATGCAGCAACAGGGCTAGAGTAGACATGCTCAATTTTCCCCATCTGAAATCAAGTAAAAAGCTGGAGCAGACACTCAGTAAATCATGTAGTGTTGAGAACACAAGGGCATAACAAGAGCTATGCAGAGAGCACAGAGTACAGAAGCTAATAGTTCAATCTCTTGACTTTTTTCGAGAGTAATTCCTCCTGAAATTATGCAAGTCTTTCATGTTGATCATTTTAAACATGTTTTCATTGGCGTCGACTAACATGCATACCAGCCCTCCAGATGGTCTTTGTTTGGTTATTTTTAGCTAAATAAACTCCATGCAGGCTTTTACTTCAGTTGTACCTCACATTTAGAAAGGGAAAACAGTTCCTAGCAGTGATGACTGATGAATGATAAGTGTTCTGATGACCAGAGTTCCTGTGCGTGAGATGGCAATGAGTCATTTAACACGACTTCAAGCTGAAATTCTTCAGTTTGGTGTGTTGTATTAAGCAATTTTGTACAACTGGCATGTTATCCTTCCGTGGTATGGTAATGTCTCAACTTACTGTGCCAGCCACAGCACTTGTAGTGAAATAGCTTGAAGGTTTTGAATATTATTCACATGCAACTAGATGCCTCAGCAATTAAACTTAATCATTGTGGCGTCAAGGACAGAAAACTGGAGCAGTGCAGTTATTTATGAGACAGGTAACTCACTTCCTTTTTAGACATACTCAATTACTGTACGTTATGTAGGGTGGGTATGATTGGGAGCACACTACAGTAATCAGAGAAATGGCAAGTAAGGTTATCAGGGCAGCCATGAAGACTCTTTTCTGACACTACACTGTACAAGTATGCCAGTATGTACGAGTTTGGAAGGTTTAATATTATGTTCACCATCTTATGCTTAAGCATGCTTAGTTTTGCAGGTATTTGGTCACTATTGGATCAAGTAATATTTGACCTGATTATGGTGCTAGATGAAAGGTTAAAGAATCACCCATTGTCTGCACCAAATTTCATTGCAATCCATCCAATAGCTGTTAAGACATTTCACTCATTCAACCTCATGGTGGCGCTAAAGGAAACGTTAGTGGATCGCCATAGTCACTTGGATATATCATCTGGGAACCATGAATGTCTGTACAAAATTTCATGGCAATCCATCCAATATTTTTTTATATATTTCAGATTGATTCCCATCCATAGATCCACGCTGCTAGCAAGGATAAAAACAAAAAATAAGAAATAAAATGACCAAAGTTCTGCTTTTTGTTTAACTATGTATGCATGCTTTATGTTGAGTGGAGAACATCAGTGTCCATAGACTTAAAGTGCAACAGGTGTCATGTTAACAATACATTGTGACATATGTCTTACTATAAACTATAAAGCAACTATTATTCATTGTGTCCAGTACAAGGTTGGAGGCTCGCTTTAACTGCTCACTTGTCTTTGATTTATTGCTTGTCTTCGTAAAAACACGCTTTAAGTATACCTTTGTTAGATGTTCTGCACTTCTTCCGTGATCACATCTCGTGGCATGTTTACATCTTTGGCAATTTATCCATCATCATGTATGTGTTTTTACTGCGGCAGTCCCATCACAACGCAGCGCACGTGAGCCTTGAAATCATGCCAAGAGCCAATTCCATTTGTGGTCATGTGTGGTATTGTATATCTCTGTAGATGCATCACAGTCTCCAAGGAGGAGCTAAAATAGGAAGTTAAAGCCCTGCCTGTAACAGTTGTCTGTTTAATTTAGCCCGTAAAGTATCCTGCTCACTTTCCCCCTCCCTTTCCTCTGGCCTATATTCCACTGAGTATGTGCCCTATATCTCATGTCCCCCTAACATTTGCTCGGCACCACTGTAGTATTTAAAGGTCCATCAAACTTTATTTTGATGGCTGCTGCTGTTATTGGGTCATCTGCGGGATGAACATCTATCTGTCAAACCTACACGCACTGAGGCCACCACCAGTCTCTTATATGACTGAATAGAAAAACTAGAGACATGTTGGATTTAAACAAAATACAATGCTTGAGATGTTCAGACTGGGTTACAGAAGGAACCAGGTTCTCTGTGTCATTACCTCTGCAAATTCAATTGAAAGGAGCTAATGTTTTAAACTGCCTGCGTGTCTGCTTGTTAGCATCACACTGTACCTCATTCATATCTCATTAGGCTAAATTTAGTGGACAGATGCATCTTTTTCATGCTACATAGAGTTGGAAAACAAAGCCTGCATGACAACAACAAACATAAACCGCAGATTTACAATCAAATCCATTCAATATTATTGGAGGTTGGTGTTCTCATGCATCTTATCAGGTTCATTGATG